ATCGGGAATACACCTGTGTCATAATTAAAATTCATTGTCACCAAAGAGCTATTAAATGCATTTTTACCTCTGTTTCCAAGGGAATAGATGCCAGCTGAGCATAGTATTATCTAATTTAGCCTGTCCTCAGCACTGTAATATTACCAAGGTCTATTAGAGAAGACTCACAGATACATACAAATAATAATGGTTGATTATTTATTTGCCTTATAGTAGCACTTGAGGATTCCTGCCAATATCATGGCTCTGCTGTACAAGGCTTCTTGCAGACCATGGCTCAAGAGGTGGCCTCACCTTTAGAGCTGATGCCTTAAATGGGAAACAGGGCAAACTACTGCAGCAAGGATGTAGCAGAAGAGTAGGTGGTCATTTGAGTGTCCTTTAGTTCCTTGGAGGCACTGCACAAACAAAAGAAGGGAGAGGAGGTAACAAGGGAAGAGATGGAAGGTGAAGGTAAGCGAGACAAGGATCAACCCTTACCAGACAAGCTTAAAGACCCCACAGAACTGGAGTCTTCCCTAGTGCTTGGCACCAGTATCCCCTGCAAGAATCCTCAGGGTGGATCCAGCATAAACTCTTACTGGATGCTGCTGGTGCCTCAGGTACTGGAGATGCTCCAGTGCTTGCTTGTAGCTTACAGTGCTGTGATCTTCTGAGGAACTGAACTGAGAATGAGGCTTAATCAAATAAAGTCCATTTGAAAAGGAGGAAGCAGTTCTTTAATGTCGTTACAATAGGTCTGTACTGGAGGAACAATTTCTCCCACACCACTCCAGTGAGGACAGTAGCATGGGTTAAAGAGTGCAAGACCCTCAACTGGAGCTCAGTGCTGGGGCACTTTAGAGCAGAAGCAAATCCTACAGGTGGACCAAAGAGAAGAAAGACAACTGGACCATGAGACATCAGTGTTGTGATGTTTTCAGAGAGAATGAGATGTGTGGAAAGCAGCATTGCTGAAAGAGGGAGGGCACAGAGCTGAAAGGGAAGGATGAGAGGCAGAAGTTCAGTATCGGAACTAAACAAACTGCTATTAGGGTTAGCCTATCAATACAGACTGACTCTAAAGGCGGGCAGGCTTCGCACTAGTACAGACTGGAAAAGTTAAAAGTGACAGAGACATTCCTAGGTCTCTGGTACATGATCTTCCCCATAGCTACATTGTTAGAGCAGCCCCTGGCCACTGTCACTCTCCTGACAATTTCTGGTATGATCTTGGAGTCAAGATGTGCCAGACAGCCTTCCTGATACACAAGTTGCACATGACCACCCTATTTTGAAGGGTAAGAGAGCTCGATAGACACAGTTATTTTGTCTCAGTCCACTTCAGTGCCAGGGAAAGGTCCAGGACATACTTTGTTAATATAGGTGTCACCTAAGTGTTTTGAAGAGAGAGGAAACAGTACCAGTGTTTGAGGAGGTTCTGCTTCTGAGCACTGCTCCACTCCCAGCAAATCTGGGGGCCTTTGCTGGCAGGAGGAGGATCAGAAGATGGCTTGTTCTGAAAAAATACTGATTCAGAGTAGACCTCGTGTATTGTGCATCCTGGGAGGGACGAAGAAGTGCTGAATGTAGAGAGCAAACTCCCTTCAGAGAGGAGTCTACCTGCTCACTGTAGTGGGAGGCAGATAGCTTTGACCACGTCTACCACAAAGCCTGTTGAGACAGCAAGACAAGTCCAGGAGACACTTCAGGGCTTGAAGGGAGAATATTTGAATCTGTACTTCCTGTTTCATAAAACACCCATCACTGCCAGTTCAGTGACAGACAAAAACCACTTGCAAGCTCACACGGACCAGTACATGGGCATGGTGAGCAGGGCAGGACTTGCCACCAAATATTTCACATGGAGACATCACATGAGAAGGGAAGGCACAGTAAAAAGACTTCTGAGTTCACTAGCTTTGACCTCTTTATGTCGTTTTAATTTCCATTTTCTGAGCCTCCCTGAGTTGCAGTACCTGCTGCTGGGGGCCAGCGAGTCTACAGCAAGGGACTGAGCTCACAGGGAAAGGGCCCCCTTCAGCTTCAGCGTAACCTGGGTGCAGCCTCCAAACCTTACCACGAGGCAGACCAGCAGTGATTAATTACAAATAATGTCACCAAGTGTCCTGTAGAGCAGACAAAAGCATTGGCATGGGCAGCAACATGGAGAAACCTTAAAATGATCCCACTGAGATGCTGACAATGACCCTGCTGGTGCCTCCCTTGTCACTGGTATCACTAAAGGAGGGAAGAAGAGTGAGCCCACTGCCTCAATGAGGTATTATCACCTCGTCTGCAAGTACTTCTTTTGTCTCTAAGTCCGGGAGAACATAAGATATTGCAATTTGTGGGAAAACTGAGAGAAGGCACAACAGTTGTCTGACCCAATACATGCCATCCCTCTCTTGTAACACAGCAGAAAGAAGTTTCTGACATTATTGCCTTTGCTAGCATATGAGCTAGAAGAAGAATGGGCTGTGTTGTGGAGACCTGCTTTGTGACTGTGTTGTCTCAATAGCAAATGTTGCTTGGATGCAGCAAAGGCCTCCTTCTACAGCTCTCATCGTATAACCACACCGAGCTCAAATACATGTACGGTTAACCTGCATGCTTGCACCACATCCTGGGAGCCCCAGGTTTTTTGAACATACAGTGATTAAATGTGCCACACACACCTAGCACAGTGCTCTAAAGCTGGTGCAGTGAAGAAAGTAACTAGAAGTTGACCACTGCTGGATAGGTGAGCCTGAAATATCCTGGTTTGTGCTCTGCATACCTGACTCCAGCAAAGAAAGACAGTATTTTATGCTTGCTTATGTACACTTAGTCCTCCAGAGGCTATAGATGGAGCAAAAGGCTGTCCCCATTCAGAATATATGAGGCTGAGCTACAGTTTCAATCAGCATGACTGAATCCCATGCCTCTGAGCTTCTCTTGGCTTCCTGCAAGGGTTATGATGAGATTCCTCTCATGAAAAGTTGTGGAGATGTTTTCCACTTTTGTCCTGGCACTAATCTAGAGCTGGGGTCACCTCTGGAGATGTAGGTGAGTCTGTACATGAGGTGTAGATGCAAAACCAGAGAGTCTCCTGTGCTCCAGACTAGCTGGGGTGAAAAAGCATTACCTTCTCCCTTGCCAGCAGTGAGGGGGTTTGCTGCCTTCTAAAAGACAGAGGCTCCTTGGGTGCATGTCCCCTAATCGGTTCCCTCCTTCTCAAGAGGCCTAGGCAGCAGCTTTTTCCTCATGTCTTGTCTTCAACACCGATCTAAATGGGATAAAATGAAGCTCTTGGGTTAGCGTAAAAAAAAAAAAAACAACTGGGAGAAATCCTGGAGGGAAGTCTTCGCTCTGAACTCATATATGAAAGTCCTGGGCGTAAGTCCAGAAGAGGGAGGCAAAGAGTTTATAGGTCTGGGAAAGGGATCAAAGAAACCTGCATCAGAAACCTGCACCAGCCATGTGTCAGAACAAGATGAAGACCTAGACACTGCTAATAAAGACAGACTCTTGGGAGTAAGTGTCACCACCAGTGCCCACACCTTTAGTGAAGGCAGCTGCTTACCTTGAGTCCTGCCAAGCTGAGCTCCTGGCTGCCTCCAGATGGTTCCTGTCCATCTGCAAGCATGTGCATCTGGAGCAGGGTGAAAGCCAGAGGAGCTCAGAGGACAGGCTCTTGCCTGCAGGATGCAGGGGCAGGAGCTGCCCCAAGCAGCCTGGCTTTGTTGTTCCATGTCAACCAAGAAACCTTTCTGTCTCCATCCTCCAGGCATCCCACACACAGCTGCGCTGCATGGCACCCAGGGTAAAACCACCCCAGCAGCCACTTCCAGGTTTTCCTTTGTTTTGCCCAAAAGCCAGGAAAAGGGTACAGGAAAAAATAGCTACAGCTATGATACTTTCCTACAGCCAGCTGGGAATAGCACTGGGGAGACAGACCTTGCTCTCCTTTTTTGCCTTATCAACCATGATCTCTAGCAGAATTCTTGGTGCAGGTAGTGGTTGTTTGCTCCAGAAGTGAAGTAACACTTTTCTCTTTCCCAGAATAAGGAAAACTGTCTTTTCCTGTGGTGTCTGAGGAAGCTGCAGCTCCCAGGTCTTTTACAGCCTATGGCAGACACAGCTATTTCTCCAAAGCCACTTCTGGCCTGAAGTTTCTCCACAGCATTTGGCAAACCCTGTACCGGCACCCAAATGGCATTCAGGGCACCAGGGAGCAGCTTTCCTGACCCTACTTGGGTTTTTTTTGACAGAGCAGGGATCATGTCCTGGCTGGGGGTGCAGGATGAAGCCATGAGAACACTGTGGAGTGTTTGCACAACACTGCAGGGTATCATCTTATGGTAGGATGTCCTGAAGGAGTCAGGACAGCTTGTCGCCAAAGAGGAGCTGTCAATGAAGAGCACTGCTCCTGTTAGGTGCATCGCCAGTGAGAGCTTGCCATCTGCTGGAAGGCAATCAGCATTGACAGGCGACAATGGCGAGAGCTCTTGGGGGTCCGAATGGCAGAAAGGCCCGTGTCAGCAGTCCCTGGAGAGCTGGATGGCATTTGGGTTTGCAGAAAGAACTGAAAGAGCATCCAAGAAGGAGGGTAAGCACTAAGCAGACAGAAAGCTCTGGTCTCAGGCAGATAAGGTCTGACAAAATTTTCTGCAGGGCTTTAACATGCTATCACTCCCCTTAAGCTCTCCTTGGAGGTGCCCATAGCCATTGCAGGGGGAGCAGAAAGCAACACCTGTTTGTGCAACTAATGCATTTCAGCTAAGTCATTCGGGCAGAGCAAAGAGCTGGCACGCTTGTGCCTCACATTTCCATGGCACAATTTGCCAGCATGTCTATCAAGCTGTGTGCTGTTCACAGCATACATTGCTCCCCGCACCACTGAGATCCTTCCCTCCCTTTGACATATTCTCACAATTCATCCTTTTGTTACACCACCAGCCTATCTAGACCAAAAGGCATTGAGCATCCTGCTCTTGAACACATCAGCTCCCAGGAACACACATCCAGCAAGAAAGTCCTCAGGTTTTCCAATGACATTTTTATTAATGTCTAGAAGGATACAAGAGTATGTCCAGCACAAGGGCTTGAAGAGCTGGTCTACTAATAGATGTACTAAACCTTCACTAGCAATATAGCTATTGGTACTGCAGGGTGTAAATCAGTACATTATATGACACTGCTTGTATTACCAAAAACCACATCACCCTTCTTGGCCTCCTATCCCACTGCTGCACTGAATGAAATGGTGTACAACAGGGAAAGCTCTTTCATGTTACACTCCTGGTACGGAAACTTGACAGTGTACCGACTGTGTTCTTGCCCTTTCAATTCAAAAAGGTAAGAAACAACAATGGCGGCATCAAATGCCTTGAATTTACTGTATTTCATGATAGATGAGGCCCAAACTCATATGAGGCATCCACATATTTATGGGAAGTGGCAATTTCACATGATACTTTTTTTCCCTAGCAGAACTAGGCTGCAAGCCTACATGCAGTGGGCAATTTTGGCACACTGGCAGAAGGGGGTGCAGGGCCTTTTCCTGCCTGTGGCTCAAGTTATAGACACACCTCAGCAGCAACATCTCTTTAAGCAGCATTTGGCTACAGGCACTTACCAGCAACCCTGCAGCACCTACTAAACCATCTCATCCAAGTCCTGGTGTACCTTCACGGTAAATCAGACAGGGAAAATGGTCCAGGTTAAAATATACCCAGCAAGGGCCCCCATAAAAAGGAACAGTGTCTCATGAGAATGAGAACAAGCTGTGGGGAGGAAGCAGAAGAGCACCCTTTGGCAGCATGGACTGGGAATCTATGCTCTTAATGATACTGGAAGAAAGGTAGGAGAGACTGAATAAAAATGAGGCAATAGCAACAGGGAAAGTAGTCCCATCAGTTTCTGATTTTCATTTCAGATTGCTCCTATTAATTGTTCTTCTCATTTACAGTAGGGATGGGAAAATTGCTTTCACCAAGAGCATATCTCCAAGCTTTTCTTCCCAAGTTCAGCCCAAATCTTGTGCTCTACAAAATTTTCCAATTTCACTGTGTAAGTAGGAAACTCCCCACCAAGGGCTTACTTAGACCATGTTGTGTTGTAAGGAAGCTTAGTGGAAACTGTCAGCTGGGATTTGAGTGCAGGTTTTTGTGGAGTTCCAGAGATACTCCAGTGAAAGGACATTCTTTTCCAAAACTGGTCAGAACCAAATAGCCCCCCAAGAAAATAACAGGCTTTGCAGTTCCCGGTACACTTCCAGACTGAAGATGCTCATTAGAGTGACTCCTACATTTTTCTTCAGTAAATTATGAGGAAGGCTAAGAAAAATTTCAGTCCAGTAACCCTCTGAAGGTGCCTGAAAAATCTAATCTTTGATTAGTGTGAAGATCTTCAAAATTAGAACATATATTAACATGACCATGTCATGCTTCCCTCCCCGAGTAGTCACTCCTGGCAGCTTCTTTCAACACTCCTTGGCTTTAATTTACACATTACTCCATCTAGTGGCCTCAAGGTTCCAGCATCCAAGAGTTTAAAACTCTGCCCTGGTACCAGCTCGAATTCAAACCTCTGCAGCAGTTTTGCCATCACCACTTTCGCCTCCATCTGTTAAGAAAAGCAAACTCATTATCAGTGACAGCAAATACAGCTTGGACTGCAGCTTCTTACAGTCAGTGTATTATGTCATGCTGCTCTGTCAATACAGAGATTTAAAAGTTAAATGTTACTCTGTTAATGCAGCTGGCTGAGTTTGAGCAGGAAGAGTCATCACCTGGGGCTTCCTGGATTTGAGGACCACTGACAGGCACTAAGATCAGTCCTTGTGTTTATGCATTAACCCCGTTTTGGAAATCAGAGTGTAAAACTAAGCACTTTAACCTGAAGATTTTGAGCACTGTTGCTTAGATGAACTCAACAGCACAGACCCGAAGAGCCGGCCTCCTGCTGTTCTGAAATGCTCCCTGCCATGCTCATTACTTCATTAAGTTGTTCCTCCCATCCAAGGAGCCCCCTCCTCACCTCCTCAGTGCCAATTCTGGCTTGTGCCCTTCTGTCGGCTGATGTTTTCCCTGTCTTGATTCTGCCAGCTGCACTCATGGGAGGGCCCTTAAGCCCTTGCATACCCCCCGTGTGTCTGACCCTGGCTGGCAAAGGGATGTTGACTGCAATTCCCATCAATGGGGTTGGATTCAAGCAGGGTGACCCAGGAGAGTTCAGAGGGAGAACAGCCTGCTGCCCTCTCCCCTGCAGACACTTTGGTCTAATGAGTGCAGGAGTGATACGGGACCAGTTTGATATATGTATGTCTGATAGCATTTGAGAGACATTCCTGGTCATGGGCATGGTGGTGATCTTCCCTTTAGAGGAAAGAGGGCCAGCACACCATCAGTGTGGCCTTTGGTACCATCACTACCAGCCGCAGCCAGCACACCCTGAGCTGACCCAATGCTCACTAATAAAGTGTCATTCCAGGCCTCACCTGTGCAAAAGCCTGCCCGATGCAGGACCGGGGTCCCAGAGAGAATGGAAAATAGCAATAATATGGCCTGCAAAAAAAAAAAAAAAATGTTCTAAACTGTCACCTCGACAGCTTACAAGCAACAAGTGAATATTTGATCACTGCAGCAAGGAAATGGTCTAAATACCAACTCACCTAGCTCACTTAAGAAAATCTCAACATTCTCATGGTTTTGTTTCAGAGCAGCAGTACAGCTCTGCAACAAGTTTCCTTGTCATGTACATGACTTAGCTTCTAGAGCTGTTCTGATATGTGCAAACCTTATTTCAAAGCCAAATGTTAAGCATACTCTAAATGCTCTCCAGCCCATCATGAGGACATAACAATCCACTCAGTTATTGCTCCTTCGAGCAGCTCTGAACCATGTGAGTGAAGGGGCATTTGGTTCAGGAGACCAGACTAAGCTGAAGCAAAATCCATGACTCATAAAGTAGCTAGACGCAGGGATCAGCACCATCTGTTTAGGTAACTGGTCCCTCCTATTGCACTCCTGACTACTGATTAGATTACTGATCAGGCTGCCTGTCCTGTGGCTGAACAGCATCTTCTATCCCTCAGCCTCTTGTCCCTTCTCTAATGTGGAGACATAACAAGCATCCTGGAGCCAGGGCTACCATACATTATATGTTTGTATTGGCAAAATATTCAACCTCATATTGGCCCAAAGCTTTGACCTCAATACAAACATTACACAACATTAGAATTGGTCTTTTTTAGACAATATCATGTGGCCTAAAGAACTTCTGAACAAAAGCTGTGCATTATGACTCTCTATTTGCATTTGGATAAGGGTTTAGCAACACTCATACTGGAATGGAAAAACAGTTTTATTCCTCTCTCCCTCCCCCTTGAAATCTCTTCCTTTAATGGTACCTTATTACATATTTAATAACCTAGGAATAAAAAGAAACTCACTTAGGTGCATCTTTGCTAAATCGGTCTGGATTGAAAGTGAGTGGATCCTTGAAATACTTTTCCATCCTTCCCATTATGTAAGTGCTGAACTGTCAAGAAAGAGTTTATTTATATTAGTCAGGAGCAGAACACTGAAAATGCCTTTTCACTGTCATGGGTACAAAATCATAACTTCCTTCCATACCCCAGACAAAAGGAATCCAAATTCTTAACCCAGTTTTGGACAATATTTTAGAGAGGCTGGTAGAAATATGCTCAGGGAGGATTTTTGCCCCCTGATACACAAATCCATCACATTTGGATCAACTGCAGCAGCTAAAAGCTGCTGATGGTGGATGGAACTCACAAAGAGAGTTGTTTTTGCAGGAATCCTGATGCCATCGATGACATGCTCCTTGTCTGTCCAGCGCACTGTCCCTGGGACGGGTGGGTACAGCCGCAGCGATTCCTTCAAAACCTGCATCAGTGAAAAGCGCAAAAGGTCAGTTTGTAAATACAGTGTAGGAAGCAGAAATAAAACTAATTACTTCCCTATGGCCTTTCACTTTAGCTAAATGGGAGCTTTGGCTTGTGGAATAGATGCTGATGTACCTGCCTTGGACTCCTGTGGGCAAAATATACGGCTAAGTCAGTTCTTTCAGGCCTGGCTCTTTCTTAGAACTGGTAAAACACAGAGAAAAAAAGTAGAACCACAAGAGATCCCACACATTGAACTGATTTAACACCTGAAATCAAGTCAACAACTAAGTGAAAAAATACTGGGAAGCAAAATCAAAGACAGTGTCTTTGAGACGTAACTCTCATGCTCCTGATGAGCTGTTCCCAGTGCTGGCTGGCATGAGGATGACTGGTTGCTCCCATCTCCTTCCCACTCTCAGCACCGCTCCTACCTTTGTCCTGCTTCTGCTGCTCAGGGAGCTGAGCCAGGTCACAGCACCAAAATGACAAAGCAACTTGGCAAAGGAAAATGAATAGGGAACAGCCAGTTAAAATAAATGGAGTGAGACCATTTCTTTAGGTGGCAGTGAGCTGTAAGAACGGTTTATTTCATCAAAGTGAAACCTAATTAACAGCACACATTAGCATCGCACTACAAATGCAATTAAGTGTGTATGCATGAGTGGATTAATGAAAAATAAAGCATGGACAAAAGGATTCAGAATTGCCTGACTGGCAGGAGAGGAGTCCCATGGTCTCTGATACTTCAGTGTTGGACTGGCTCTGACCAAGGATGACTGTGATGTTGGTTGTATAGATCCAAGCTTGTTCATTAAATAATCTGCTTTGAGAGGCTGTCATATGAGTTGTCTCAAAACTGAAAGGCTTAGATACCTCATCCTAATTGGAGTGGTATAATTGTGATGGTGTTTGGAAAAGCCTGTTGATTTCTGTAATCACACAGAGATGCCTTTTTCTTAGGAGAAATACACCTTTGAAATGCACCTACTGTCAAAGCACAGTGATTTGTGGAATAGGATACATCAAATGGTAAAACAGCATCGTATCTCCTCAGCAGGGCAGTTTAAGAGAAAAGCAATCATAACACAATACTAAAATCACATGGAAATCTAAGCAGAAGAATAGCTGCCATGGCTGCAATTCAGCCTCTCCTGAGGGCTACTGGTATCCCCCTTCTTGTAAAAAAGGACATGCAATACAAACACTGGCAAGTAGCCAAGCCCTGGCTTTGCAGTTCATTACCAACTAGCACTTCTATACACAAGACCTCTTTCTTAGGACCAAACTTTCTTTTATTCAATCCCAACCCCCCAAGTGACTGAAGAGGGTGTCAAGACTGAGTAATAAAAAACTGGAATTACAAAAACTACCCTCTATTTTTGGACGTCCTCAAATCCTGTTGAGTTTACGGCACATGGTGAGATCATAGCTGGAAATGCTTTAAAAATAATCAAACAAAAATAGAGCTGTGAGTTTGGGAAGTGTGTGGGATTCAGACACAGGTTGGGCTCAGAGTTGCAAACCCTTCTTTAAATATGACTGTGGTTTCAGCATAAACAGGTAGGGATTAAGCAACTCCACTCTAGCTCCCAGCTTGCTAATAATTAAGGAAAGCAGTGAAGGAATTGTGTGGGATTTTGGAAAACAATTTGAGGAGCATCCTTCCCAACAACCTGGGCTGCTGCAAACGGCTCATGGTACCTGCTTGCTGACTCTCTGGGGGCAAACACCATCAGGATCAGATTCGACATTGTCCCTAAAATGTTAAAAGTGTGGGGCTTCTCCACGACACGGCAGAGGGGCTAACAAACAGCTACAATTGATATTTTACCTCACTCCTGGAGTACCTGAGATAAGTAGGTGAGTTTGCCAAGATCCTCATAGTCAAGGTCTCTCTTAGCACCAAGAACATCATCCACTTCGGCCTGAAGCCTGCAGTTCAATTAAAAATGGTTAGCTGCAGACGCCCATTTCTTGCTAGGCAAGTTGACAATTACATTTGTAATTTCCCAAACACTGAGTTGGACTTTGACTCCCATCCTCAGGCTAAATGCCTACTGATTCCAGCCAGCCTGCCTGAACTTGTTCCTCGTATCAGCAATCGGCTGATACCAGCAGTGGGTGTACAGCACAGGCAAATCAGGTAGGATTCAGGACCAGTATGTATAAAGGCTTTGAAATAAAAAACTTCACCAGCTAGATGGAATTGAAATAACTCCCCTTAAGCTTTTTTTTATATTTTAAATATACTGAGACAATGAAACTGTTTATTTTTGAAGGGAGGCTAGAATTTACTGGGAATTTATCCTAACTTTTTAATAATCCTTATCAATAAGTTCACCTCAAAATTAACAGCAAGCAGGAGCACACATACCTTTTCAGTATTTCAGGATGCTGAGCCAGTGCCATTACAGTAAATGACAACTGATTGGCAGTGGTTTCATGACCTAATGAAACCAAAAATAGGTTTCACTGTTAGTATGAAATAATATCATGACAGAAAGATGGTCTGTTAGTGTGATTTGTAAACAGGAATCTTTAAATGTCAGGCCCCAGATGTTTTATTTCAAGTATGCTAGAAATGAAAAGAAATACTAAAAAGGTTATAAATCTTACATAAGGAGCTTCCAGGAATGACAAGAACAAGTTGTAGCTGGTAAAGATACGAACCATCTTGCTCAACTCAGTGCCTGCACATGGCACCTACTGGTCATGATTTCCCTAACATACAGGCTAGTGAGGTTCAGTATTTGCCTTGCCACATCATGGGACACACCACTCTGCCGTGATGCAAGGACTTACTGATTCTGAGGGAAAACTGAGTTCTAAGCATCTTTCCTTGAAATGTCTGCTTTATGAGGATAGTTTCAATTTTTTAATGGATGGGCATATGTACTATTTAAAAACAGACTTCTACAAAGATGTCTTTGTTGCAATAACGTTTTTCTTGCAGAAGAACAGTGTATGTACCTCACCTTCTTAGGAACCTAAATCCTACTGACTTGCAAGACTTATCTTTCTAAGTTGTTTACCTCATGTGCTCACCTCAGCCCCTGCTTTTTCTGACAGGCCTGACAGTGCCCTCTCCTACCAAGTGTTGACTAATGTTCTTAAGGGAAGAACTGTGTTTAATCATGTGGGTGGGGTGACATGAAGACACGTGGAACATGTTACAGATTTAGCAGTATCAGGGAGGAAGAGCAGAACCCCATAAGGAATAGCACTGCACCCCAGGAAGCAGTGGTGCCCTCTGCACTGCAGGCTGGAAACCACTGGCCTGGCATTATTTGCTATGTTGATATGCCTGAAGGAGGATAACATTGCATTTGCCTATGAGAAACTGAGCTCTCTTCCGACCTCACCCAGCTGGTCCTATGCCAGTGTAATGCAGCTGTCTTCCAAGCAAGTGACTCCTTGTTACAGCAGCATCACATAGAGTGAGCAAGTATGTTAATCATGGCCCTGTAAGACAGCCCCCAAGTACAGATTCCCATGCAACATATCCAAGTGTTAGATACCAACCTGCAACAAAGAAAGTGATAAAGTTATCCAGAATATTTTCATCATCTCTAGTTTCCTCCAGAGCTGTCAGGAAAGAAAAGCAAACAAGATTAGAAATTACCGCCATGCACCATCTGGAACAGCCAGACTGCTCTGCCCCATTTTGCACATTTTGTCTGAGGTGGCATTGGGAGGGGATGCTGAACATTCAACTCGGCACTGAGCTGCAATCAATATTTCATCCAACACAAACAAACAGAGAAGTTTCAAACCTGCTCTCACCATCTTCAGTGTGAAAAATACATTAAGGAAGGGCCAACGTTCACAAAGTTCAGACTTCTGAAACAATCCCCCCTGAATCTCATGACAAATCATAACACAGAGAAATTCACTCAAACAGCAATGCGTTCCCTACCATCTCCTTTCAGTATCTGCGTAAGAATATCCAGTGTGTCTCCCTTCCCACTCCGGATGGCCTCTCTCCTCTGGTCAAGGCACTCCTTCCCCACACGCCGCAGCAGCCTCACACTTTCCTGGACCTCCTTTACCAGCTTCCGTTTCCCTGGCATGTACTGAATACAGAATTTCTTCAGTCATTTTATTCCTTTTCTTGGTAAAATACATTGCCAGTGTTATTTTTCAAGCAAGCACCTTGTTTTCTGCTAAGCTACATTTGTCACAAATCTGCTCTCCACGGAACAAAGTGAATATCCCCAAGGCAGAGGGCTTGGGCTGACATGAGAAATATTTCCATCACTGCATGCTGATGTACTGCTTTGTCAGAGCTGATGTTTTGGACACAGTAAGCAAAATTCCTCACCTCTCCATGGAAAAAGCTGCAGCATGCAATACAGAATCTCACCTCTGGACCCAAAAAGGAAAACAGGAGCTCTAAAAGCCTGAACTACAGCTTTTGTGAGAAACTGGAATGATTTTCAACTTAAATATTTTGTATTACACACATAATTTCCTACTATATGAAATTAGGTCAAAAAACCAAATTTCTTATTTTAAGACTGTTCAGATTTTTTCCACCTTGAGTGATAGCTGCTATCCTTCTTGGGAAAACGGCAAAACCCACAATTTTTGTAGCTATGGGTGTGAAAGTGTAAAGCCGTATGAGATGATGACACATGCATGGGTGGAGAAAAGGCAGAGAGGAAGCATTAAATGTAAGTTTTGCAAGTGTTATAAAGCTTTACTGCATTTTATCTTAATGCACATTGGAGAAGAGATACTGATGACTTTCCCCATTGTATATGGGCCTTGCACAGCTCCAAGCCACTAACTCATGCAGGAGCAGAGGGTCCATGTGGACACAAAGGGGGAAGACCGAAGCAAGGAGCATACAGACCCGCAAGAAGGGGATACGCATCTTGGTCATTCCCTCCAAAACCATGGTCACAGCATGCGGGAAAGGTGTCTGGTCATCGCTCAGTGCATTTAATTCCAAGCCAAAGGCTACCTGAGGAGTGGGAGAGAAAAAGGCAACTCACTGCATTCTCCTGGCTCCCTATGGCTGCCTCACTCCACTGCCTTTTCGCCTATAGATACCTCAGAGTAGACCCCGCCTTGCAGGAGACTGCAAGGGAAGGGCAGTATCTACATTTTACTTCCTCCTTATTCGGAGGATTAATAATTTACTATTACTCTCCATTCATCCAAACTGTTTGCATAAAGAAGGGAAAAGCCAGTGTAAGGCAGACTTCATTCTGACATATAATGGCAACAATGCAACATCCACCTCTTCTGGCACAGAGGGATGTGAGGTATGAGGCTGTAAGGGCTTTTGCAAATGATCCCTGTCCTGCAGGCCACACTCAGGCTGTGCAGTCCCTTGCCTAACTGCCCCTTCCTATGGGTCAGCCCAAAATGAAGTGACAGATAGGACAAGAGGAAACAGCCTCAAGCTGCGCATGGGGAAGCTTAGACTGGGTATTAGGAAAAAAATTCTTTACCTAAAGGATTGTCAAACATTGTAACAGGCTGCCCAGGGAAGTGGTGGAATTACCTTCCCTAGAAGCGTTCAAAACCCATCTAGATGAGGCTTTTAGTGACATGGTTTAGTGGTGGAGTTGGCAGTCCTAGGGTAACAGTTGGACTTGATGATCTTAAAGGTTTTTTCCAACCTAGCTGATTCTATGACACAATTAGTCCTTCAGTTCTTCTCGCACTACTGAATGAAGGTCTTGTTCCCTGGCTCCAGTTCCTCACTCCGTCCTGCTGCTGGTACCCGTTACTTTTATATCTTCCTGCCAATTGCAGAGGAAACAAGAAAGCAGACAGCTGGTACCTTTGCAATGACATCCATAGTCACCCGGTTCATCATCGTCAGCATGCTAAACTCTTTATTTCCATCTGCCTTTTCCTCTAGCTTCTCCATCAGCTCCTCTGCTTTTTCATTAAAAGTTTCCATCAGACCCATCAGGTAGCTGAACAATCAATAAGAATGAGTGATGGGGGCTCTGGAGAGGACATCTTTGCTCAGGCAAAATTACCTTCATTATTTTCCATAAAGCATAAAGATGTTATTATTAGTAGTAATAATACATTTGCCTTAATACTTTAAAAAATAAACAGATAAAATTAGTTAAATTCTTCTTACAGCAGCCCTACTCCACCCTGCCATGTAAACAACAGCTATCATGGCAAAGAGCTTTGGCCCTGTGCATGCAAAAGCAAATGGACTTTATCTTCAGACCCTAAACACAATGCAACAAACAAACAAACAAACCAGAACAATCCCCTGCTTATCAATCAGATGAATGGTAAGACCCTAAGGTCTGTTTTCCAATAGGATAAAGCAGCCATCACCATATTCCTGGATACACAAGCCTGGGATCTTTCTGCCATCACTGAGCTTATATGGGTGCCACCACCCCATGGGAAGGCTGGTCACATTATGCTAGTCATGGAAATGGTGTGTTGGACTCTTAAGCAAAATGTGATTGTGGCATAAAATGTTTGGGAGCTTTTACCTCTTTCTAAATATCACACAATGGATCAATGATGAAGAGAATCATGAAAATACAGCAGAAATTACAGCTAGCTCATCCCAGAAATGTTTGCCTTACGTTCGGCTGAAAGCTGGATCCATTATCTTCCGCTGCTTGTGCCAATGCTCATGGTTGCAAACAGTTACCAAGCCATTCCCTAGGAACCTATCATTTAGGAAAACAAGGACAGGAACAGTTTTCACCAAGGGAGCCAGCCAAGCCCCATGCAGCCACAAGGGTAAGTCTTACACACAGAATCATAGAGTAGTTAAGGTTGGAAAGGACCTTAAGATCATCAAGTTCCAACCCCTCTGCCATGGGCAGGGACACCTCACACTAAACCATATCACCCAAGGCTTCGTCCAACCTGGACTTGAACACTTCCAGGGATGGAGCATTCACAACCTCCCTGGGCAACCCATTCCAGTGCCTCACCACCTTAACATGAAAAAATTTCCTCCTTATATCCAATCTAAACTTTCATACTTTTGCCTGGTAGGTGTGGACCGCTGAGTCCAAAAAGATGCTGGTTCATTACAACTGCTATGCAAATAATTAAGGTAATGACTGGATAATGACTGGATATAAGGAGGAAATTCTTTCCTGTTAGGGTGGTGAGGCACTGGAATATGTGAAGTTGTGAATGCTCCATCCCTGGCAGTGTTCAAGGCCAGATTGGACGAGGCCTTGGGTGATGTGGTTTAGAGCGACGTGTCCCTGCCCATGGCAGGGGGGTTGGAACTTGATGATCTTAAGGTCCTTTCCAACCCTAACTATTCTATGATTCTATGACTGGATTATTATACATTTAAAAGCTTCTGCCTAAGAGAAAATCCCCTTTTTTATTATTGGACGTAGGAGGTGGAAAGTCCCATGTATTAAGGAATAATTCAGTCCTCTAAAATTTAAGCGAGAAGTTTGATGATGGTCTTGAGCTAACTGTTCTGAGACGAACTGAAGACCCATAGGGAAAAAAAAGTATGATCAAGGTCAAAGAAATCCAACATAACCTCCTCTCTGCCTGGGAAGACATATGACTTAGCACATAATTTAACAGATACACACTCTTAGGTATGTCTGAAATTAGTCATTAATCCCCGCAAAGGTAAATGGTCTGAGTTAAAAGACGTGTCATGCCTGCAACTCTACTAATCTTGCGATTTTCAGATCACTACAGCTTTAGATGGGTTTCACTTACCTCTCACCAAATATGTTGAAGATACGACCATATACGAACCGATCCTTTGGGTACTGTGGTGACATCAAGAACTCCTAAAATCAAATCTCAGGTCAGCGAATACTGAGTGTTGTCCATTTCCCAGACAAAACATAAAAAGCTGCTCACATATTCACTGTTTTCCTCCTATAGCAATAGGCTGAAGGCTAGAAAATTATTTGATGTGCCCTAATTTCCCAGTTCCTGTGCCACTAGCTTGTGTTGCATGCCTCTAGTACTTTTTGCCAAATGACCCGAAATCTCACTCTGTGGTTATTGCAAAGATTTAGAGGAAGAAATTCAGTCCCTTCTGCCTTGCTCATTAGAGATATTAAGCTCTTGCAGAGAGTCTGCTTTTCAGGAATGGTGGATGCTTGCTCTGTCGGCTGTTTAAATAAAGGTAACAAAGTAAATCAACCAACTGAGGAGGAAAATAAATCATGACAGCCGGGTGAGCAGAGCATCTGGTACTAACCCAGCCAAAGCTGCCCTCTCTGCAGGGACAGACTGGCTGCACTGTGCTGCCCTGAACATCAGGCACCACTTCCCTCTTTCTGGGGGGACAGGCCAATCCCCACTGTTGATTCAGCTTTATTTTGCAGTACCTTCACTCCTTCAGGACTCAGAACCATTACTGAGACTCTGTGAAAGGCATTAAGCCGTACAACAGGTCCATATTTCTCTGCCCTACAAGAAGAGAAGGGAAGTTAAAAAAAAAAAAAGAAAAAAAGAAGGAGAGAGAATTATGGTACAAACTACCAACACGTAACAGTTCAGACCTAATAACCTTTAAGGACCAAGCAGCAGGTACTGGGAGCTACTGCAGCCTTCAGTGCATAAAGCCATCGACAGAAAGATCAATGCTCTCTCCCTAGCTCTTCTACCAACCTTCTGAATGATGCTAAATACGTAATTCAGGGTGTCTGCACCTTGATTTTCCAATTTGTGCTACAGGGCTACTCCATTTGACGTTACTGATGTGTCTCAACTTACCACTGTAGGAAGAAATCATGCACCACCTCCTCTTTCCTCAGCATTCTCCATAAGATTGGCAGATGTCCAAATAAAAAGCTGCAAAAAATAAGGTTTAGTGTCACAAGAATGCAAACACAGGGTTTTGTATGGATTGCAACCTTTGTGCTCAGTGATGCAATGTAAGTGTTGCAATATAAGTGTTGCTCATGGTTTCCTCCTTGTAAGGAAAAAGGAAAGTAACACCTAGCTGTGCCAATACCCAGCCCTCACGTGAGTAAGCAGGGAACTGGGCTCAGGCTGCTCACTCATGAAGCCAGAAAGACCAGTGCAGAGATGCAGGACAAGATGGTTATTGCTGCTGCATTAAAGGATAATCACTGGTCAATATTCAGTTGCAAAACTGAATAAAAAAGTTTAACTCTTCAAATTGAACATCTGCATTAAAACTCAGAGATCATTCCTTCCTTCAGCTGTGAGTGGAATGTCCCCACCAGCTTTGCATACTTCTGAAGGAAAATTTGGCCAAACTCCTCTCTTACATAGAACAGAATCATAGAACCATAGAATAGTTAGGGTTGGAAAGGACCTTAAGATCATCAAGTCCCAACCCCCCTGCCATGGGCAGGGACACCTCACACTAAACTGTATCACCCAAGGCTTTGTCCAACCTGGACTTGAACACTGCCAGGGATGGAGCATTCACAACCTCCCTGGGCAACCCATTCCAGTGCCTCACTACCCTAACAGGAAAGAATTTCCTCCTTATATCCAATCTAAACTTCCCCTGTTTAAGTTTTAACCCTTACCCCTTGTCCTACCTATCACTACAGTCCCTAATGAAGAGTCCCTCCCCAGCATCCCTATAGGCCCCCTTCAGATACTGGAAGGCTGCTATGAGGTCTCTACGCAGCCTTCTCTTCTCCAGGCTGAACAGCTCCAACTTCTCAGCCTGTCTTCATAAGGGAGGTGCTCTAGTCCCCTGATCATCCTCATGGTCCTCCTCTGGACTTGTTCCAACAGTTCCACGTCCTTTTTATGTTGAGGACACCAGAACTGCACACAATACTCCAGGTGAGGTCTCACAAGAGCAGAGTAGAGGGGCAGGATCACCTCCTTTGACCTGCTGGTCACGCTCCTTTTGATGCAGCCCAGGATACGCTTGGCTTTCTGGGCTGCAAGCGCACACTGAAGCTGGCTCATGTTCGTTTTCTCATTGACCAGCACCCCCAAGTCCTTCTCCGCAGGGCTGCTCTGAATCTCTTCTCTGCCCAACCAGTAGCTGTGCCTGGGATTGCTCCAACCCAGGTGTAGGACCTTGCACTTGGCGTGGTTAAACTTCATGAGGTTGGCATCAGCCCACCTCACAAGTGTGTCAGGGTCCCTCTGGATGGCATTCCTTCCCTCCAGTGTATCAACCGAACCACACAGCTTGGTGTCATCGGCAAACTTGCTGAGAGCACACTCAATCCCACTGTCCATGTCAGCAAAGAAGATGTTGAACAAGACCAGTCCCAACACCGATCCCTGAGGGACACCACTCGTTACTGGTCTCCAGCTGGACATTGAGCCATTGACCACAACTCTTTGTGTGCGGCCATCCAGCCAGTTCTTTATCCACCGAGTGGTCCATTCATCAAATTGATGTCTCTCCAATTTAGAGACAAGGATGTCGTGTGGGACAGTGTCGAACGCTTTACACAAATCCGGGTAGATGACATCAACTGCTCTACCCCTGTCCATCAGTTCTGTAGCCCCATCATAGAAGGCCACCAAATTGGTCAGGCAGGATTTCCCCTTAGTGAAGCCATGCTGGCTGTCACCAAGCACCTTGTTGTTTTTCATGTGCCTTAGCATGCCTTCCAGGAGAATCTGCTCCAAGATTTTGCCAGGCACACAGGTGAGACATGAAGCAAGGTATATTTGAGATCCGCTTTTTGTTTGAGACAGGCAGCAATGCCACCACCCTTTTCAGTATAAACAAGCAATAGGGGAAAACCAGGCTCTTATTTTAAAATAAAATACAGGTTTAAAATAGCAAACACTCAACTAAGTTCCCCAACATCTACAGAAACTTTTAATTCTCCACTTGTTTGACTCCTCCAGTGTAACTGGACTCCAAAGAGACGGGAAAGCCCCAAATGTACCAGATGAGTTCTTCATTAGCTAAAGCTCCAAAACCCACTTTATCTGCAGCACATGAGGCAAGGTCCCATTCATGACTCCTCTCGTGAAACACATGAATCCTCAGATACTTTTCACCTGCTGTAGCATCATTACCCAATTAAGTCAGGTGTTACAACAGGCCTAAAGTGTTAATCTGCTAATGGGAAGTCCCAATTAATTACTGCATGCCATGAAAAAAAAAATAATAAGGGCTTGGTTTGGCATACGTAACTATGTGACACTATCAGCTGAAAACATGTATTTGCAAAGAATCCTTTTTACCCATTTCTTGCTATTAAATCTTCAATATGAAGCAAACCTTTGAAGAGACGACCTCCTGTCTTCACAGGTGAGCCATTCATGGGGTGAAAAGTACAAAATGCCACCAAGACTCATTTTTCCAGGCTGTCCTGCACAGGTCTCCTTTAGAGATGTGCTGTATTAGTTTCAATAAAATAAATCAGCCCAGGAAATTAAGGACATTAATACAATCTTGTTATCATGCAGCCGTAAGACTCTGGGCAAAGTCTGAGGTTTTGATAAGATTCTGTTGTACTTCACCCTAAAAATAAGGCTTTCTTAAGCTTTTATCAAAGGGCCCTTTGATAAAGGAAAAAGGGAAAGTCATGCATGTGGGACATAGTAACAACTCAAAAGGACACAGGCTGTGGACTGGCTGGTTGGGGAGCAGGTCTGCTGACCACAACCTCCTGCCAGTGGTCAGCAATCTAGACACAAGCCTTCTGGCGCTGCTCTTCTCCAGGTTACCAGATACAGTCCCAGCTGAGAAGTGTTTGGATTTGGACTAATCCCATTTCAGAGTAATCTGGGTTGGCAAGAACCTCTGGAGGCAACCAGTCAAGTTCCCTGCTCCAGGCCAGTCAACTTCAGAGCTATGGTACACATGGTACATGACTCAGGGTTTCACCCTTATGGTGAAAATGTTTTGCCTTACATGCAACTGGGATTTCCCTTGAGACACTTTTTGGCCAAAAAGTTGTGCCTATTGCCTTTTGTCCATTTCAGAACTCCAAGGAGTGTCAGGCTCCACACTTCCATAACCACCCATCAGGTAGCTGAAAATGGATAGTGGATCACTCTGCCCTTCAGCAGCTGCTTCTCCACCTAAAGCAAGCTGAGCACTCAGCTTCCTGGGCATCCTGGCTGCCCTCCATTGGACCTACCCATTTGTCAATGTTTTGTCTTGTAATGGAGGGAAGGAATGCCATCCAGAGGGACCTTGACACGCTTGTGAGGTGGGCTGGTGCCAACCTCATGAAGTTTAACCATGCCAAGTGCAAGGTCCTACGCCTGGGTCGGAGCAATCCCAGGCACAGCTACAGGTTGGGCAGAGAAGAGATTCAGAGCAGCCCTGTGGAGAAGGACTTGGGGGTGCTGGTCGATGAGAAAATGAACATGAGCCAGCTTCAGTGTGCGCTTGCAGCCCAGAAAGCCAAGCGTATCCTGGGCTGCATCAAAAGGAGAGTGACCAGCAGGTCAAAGGAGGTGATCCTGCCCCTCTACTCTGCTCTCGTGAAATCTCACCTGGAGTATTGTGTGCAGTTCTGGTGTCCTCAACATAAAAAGGACATGGAACTGTTGGAACAAGTCCAGAGAAGGGCCACAAGGATGATCAGGGGACTGGAGCACCTCCCGTACGAAGACAGGCTGAGAAAGTTGGAGCTGTTCAGCCTGGAGAAGAGAAGGCTGCGTGGAGACCTCATAGCAGCCTTCCAGTATCTGAAGGGGGCCTATAGGGATGCTGGGGATGGACTCTTCATTAGGGACTGTAGTGACAGGACAAAGGCTAATGGTTCAAACTTAAACAGGGGAAGTTTAGATTGGATATAAGGAGGAAATTCTTTCCTGTTAGGGTGGTGAGGCACTGGAATGGGTTGCCCAGGGAGGTTGTGAATGCTCCATCCCTGGCAGTGTTCAAGTCCAGGTTGGACGAAGCCTTGGGTGATATGGTTTAGTGTGAGGTGTCCCTGCCCATGGCAGAGGGGTTGGAACATGATGATCTTAAGGTCCTTTCCAACCTTAACTACTCTATGATTCTATAATATGCCAAATCACTGTATGTAAGCAATAGTATATAAGGGGTTAAGGCTTTGCAATAAACGGCTTTTGTCTGATCATATTTATATCTAAGTGGGTCCATATATTTTCTGCAGCAGGCAGCTAAGCCTGGTGTCCCTGTAGAGCCATTTAAACTGTAGGCTATGTAAACAAGTGCTGGTGTGGTGTCTTTTCCTGTGGCATGTGATGGAGAGCGCACACACCCATAGGTTATATCGGATGGGAAGCCCACAAGGAAGGTGTCTGGTGGAGTTGGCATCAACATGCCTGCTGGAGCTGTGCAGGATGGCAAGCTGTGCTGGGATAGCACAGGGCCCCTCCTGCATGGACAGTGCTGTCAGGCCCCTCTTTGGTCTCACCAGCAAGCGCACAACTGAGATAGGCAACTGTGCCACTCGCTTCATGCCGCTGCAAGCAAGGAGATGCAGGTCAGCACATCCCACCACGCCAGCCCGAGCCAACGCTGCAAAAGTCCCCGACAACGCCTTACTGTGCCAACCTTTCACGGGAAGGGGCCATTGGTGTGACCTCCTCGCCGCTGCCCTTGCCCACATCAGCAAGGCCCGGCCCGGCCACCCCGCAGGCCACAGGCTGGAGTGCTTATTTTCTGCGCTGACACTGTCTCACGGCTCCTGCAGAGAGCGCGGCCGAGGTGCTATGTCCGCTGCTGTGCGCGGTCACGGCGACGGGCATCGCGGCTAATGCCAGCGGAGTGACTCGCCCTGCAGACGCCTGAAAATCCCCCCTTGCCGCACCGCCTGCCCACTCCTTACCTCGCCCGCGGGCCGCTGGGGATGTGGTCGTACTTCATGTGGATGTATTTCACATAGCAGCAGTACAGGCCGAAGGCCAGCAGGCACAGCGCCAGCAGGAGCCCCGCCACTGCCCTCAGCGCCTCCATTACTACCGAGTATGCACCTCACAACGCCGTCCCGGGGCAGCGGGCGGCCTGCGCAGATCTGCGGAGCGGGCGGAAAAGGCCTCGGCTGCGGGCGGGGCCGGCCTCGCTTAAAGAGACCGGCGGCGGTGGGGGTGCGCTGACCCAAGAGCGCTGGGTTACAGGACCACGGGTAACTGCCTGGCAGCGAAGGGTATATACAGGCATATATATGAACGTCTATGTACGTATATGTACATACATATGTTTGCTTTCCTGGGTAGAGGTGTGCTTTGTACCAGTGCATGAGCAGGTCAGGAAGGATGCTGCATCCTCATGTTTGTTTACAGAAGCATTTTAAGTAAGTCTCACTGCTGAAGGCTTACACAAACTAAGCCAAATCAGGACAAGGAAGGCAAAGGCTTTTTGTTGACTTTTAACTGCTTAAATAGAAGAGGCAGAGGGAATATATTATTGATGCCTGTAGGAATCAATAGATGAAGACTTTCAGAGCAGTTTGCTTTGGGCCCTGTGTCATACAATGTACTCACTCATCATCCAGACATGGAAATGAGAGATTATACACTTCTATTCAAAACAGGTGATTTAAAGCTGCCACAAACTGCATAAGGATTGCAGGACACAAGGTACCAAGCTATAAAGTGGTGAAAATTCATTTTTGGTAAATGAAAAATAATTCACAGGCAAAAATAAATTATGTATCTAAGTCCAAACCTGTTATATGTATTCAGTGGCGGCATTCATTCAGGAAATGTCAGCTTAATGCTCACTACAGATTAAAGAAGCAAGCAGAGCATTGGCAGTGATTAGAGGTAGGAGAGTGAGTGAACAAGATGCCTAACTATATCAGTACATAGAGGATTCTATAAAGCCAGAGCACACCCACTGCGTATGAATGCCATACATGCTCTTCCTCCCAGCTCAGCAGAGGTGTAGAAATAGAGACAGAACAAATTAGCCTCAAAAGGATGAGGGAGAAGGTTGTGATAGAGGTCTGGAAAACCATCAGAGGTTTGGAGATAAGTAGGGACAAACCAATCATTACTTTGCATTGTTCAAGAGCAAGGAGGAAGTCCCTGAAATGATAGCAGCAGGAAAGAGGAAGATATTTTTCACAACAAACTGTTAGATGAAGGAACTCATGGTGACAAGCTGTTTTGGATGCTAAATGAATACACTGGCTCACAAGGAGCCAAGGAAAGTGATGTGGGATGAATCCAGGTGTTGTCACTGGCCTCAGCAGGAGCTCTGCATTCTGGAGATTTCAGGTAAGGAACCCCAAATGGCCCAAGAAGACCAAGAGGGCACACAAACCACCCAGTGCATCCTCCTGTCTTTCCATTCTGCCCTCAACCCCATCATGCCCTTCAGAGAAAAGCACCCACACCACCTGCCTATCAGACTTTCACAGGACAACGCCATTCACTTGCTCTTCCTCTACACAAGCTTTACTCAACTGGCTGGACACAGGATACTAAGCTACCTGGGGTTTTATCAATATCTATTTGCCACCTGTGGGTCTCTGACTTGTTTCACAGCACCATATGAGGCTGCTGAAGTTTTTATCTGCCATTTCCAATGGGCTGACTTTTCCCTGCTTCCCTCCCATGGCAGCGCCCATATGGCCATGCCTCTCTGCAGCAGGAGGAAGAGGATGTAACTTACGGCACCCCCCGGTTTTGTTCATCTGATGCAGCAATCATCTGCCAGAAGCCTCCAAGAGTCAGGTTGCTTCTGTTTTCAAATTGAAGCAATGGCTGTGCTAAACGGCCACAATCTGCAGGTTTTCTTTTGTTTTCTTGCGTTGTTTCTGCTTGTGTTAGAGACTAGCAGATCACTGACTCTTGGTCAAATGGTGCAAAATGCTGGAAACCAGTCTCTGTCAGTACATAATGGAGCATTTATGGTTGTATTTATTTTAAACATTGTTTTTCTTTCTGTTAATCTCAACACTGATTATTCTTGAACTGCTAGTTCCTTGTTTTGCTCAAAATAATTGCAACAACCCTGAAATTATTTCCCCCTCTGGTTAGGGTACACGTACATTCACACAGACCTTTTTTTTTCTTTTTTTTTAATCTGGAAATTACATCATTGTTATGCTCTCAAACACAAAAATATTATCTAAATATTATTTCAGTTTACCTTAATTGAAACCAGCGGCTTGGGTTTTTGGGGGGGGATTTGGTTTTTTTTTGCCTGTTAAAGCTGGGTTTTTACAACCTCTTCAGAAAAAAAAGCTATCATTCCTTCCTGTTGGTCAGATGATATATATCATGATATCATGATATGAATACCCATCACTAGGAAATACAGCTAATCACAAAAATAGCATCACCCAGAGGAAGTGCTTAAAAAGTAAAGCTAACTAATGTTACCACATTTTTAAAGCCACTCAATTATCTTCCTGATGAAACATGGATTTTCTGAGTTTCATCAGTGCTCTTTTCAGCATAATTCAAGAATCAGAACTATTTATAAGGTGTTCTTTCATTTGAAATCACTCTTGGAATAATTCCTGTGGAAAATTCCTGCTTGTACCTTGTTTGTGAGCAGCTCACGTGGTGGTGATAAAGTATTTGGCATTTTATATATTTTGATGGGATAAAGAGGCCATGCGATATAGTTCTGATCCCTGAGTGGATGAGGCAAGCTCTCAGAGTACAGCTGATCATGCAAATATAATTATCAGCTGATAACTCCCCTGAGTATTCAGCCTTGGTAGACTACAGAAATTACCTTCTATTTCAGGCCATAAAGATAAGCTTAAATAAAACCTTTTGCTTGTGTTCTAACGTGTTTCTATACTCTTGAGTGAAGGACACCAAGGGGCTGTTATGTTTACCTGCCTGGGAGCCCCACGCTGCTCTAAAGGAGTGCAGCTTGGGCAAACTGAACTTCGTCGTCTGTCACCTCTCTGCTGGGAACTGAACTGCCATCGCGTGGACACTTTCCCAACCTGCACATTCCCATAAACACAAAACTTGGAAGCCGAACAGAGGAGCAGAGCGCTGGGAACTGTTAACCGCTGTGAAGTTACAATGTGATTTGCAACTGATGGGATGTAGGGTTAGTCCAAACTCCTGCTCTTTTGCTTATCTTTGCATAGCTATTTAGGTTTGAAAATATTTACTGCTCTCCCTCGATGTCCAGCATTGTATAGACTGTGAGGACAGGAAGAAGGCATAGCACAGGCATCCCCTGTGCTAGGAAATGCCTTCGGCAGCACACAGCCAGAGGGCTGAGTATCCTGGGACGCTCTGAATTTACCAATAAAATGCATTTCTAAATAAAGAGCTTTTAATTTTATTGTTAAATGTCTCCATCTGTTGTGTGCTACTGGTTAAGTGCAGATGGTGATTAAATTAGTACCTCTCCTGGAGAATTTACAGTCTGAGACCTCACTCCCTATCTAAAGGTCCATATGGAACTAGTGGAGATCTGGGACATGAGCACTGCACTTCATCCATCTTCAGCGAAAATGCAAATTTCAGAACTGGTTTTACTATGCATCTCCTCCTTTCTTAGGCAAAAACACTGTCTAGGTGGAATCCAAGGACCAACTGCTGTTCAGGGATTTTGGCCCTTCTGTCCAGCACTAGCAGCTCTGCAATCCCATGGGCAATCCTGCAGGAAGTGTCCCACATACTCATTGTTTTTGTGCACAGTGTGCCTCAACTTCCCTCCCTTTAATCATCCCATGTAGTTGCTACATTGTGGCAAATAATAATTTGGTTTTAATAGTGCAAAAGATAAAGTTCTCTGCTCCAAGGATTGGAAAGTTCAGGACAGAAAATGTGTATTCTCAAGCCTTCTTGCTGCATGACTGCAGCTCAGTTTACTACTGAATTTAATCCTGAGAGTTCAGATAAATTCATATTTTGCGTATCTTTGAACCCAGGATACGAATGCTGCGATGCCAGCAGAGTGTTGTCTGGCTCAGAGCAACACTGGCAGAGGAATAGAACCAGATTTCAAAATACTCGTTGAAGTACACCTCCAAAACACACCTTGTTCTCCTGACAGCCAGGTAATAGTATCTGTCTGGTTTTTACTACTATTATGACAGCCAATGTGAAAAGTAGTGAGGTAGATAAACTTATTTAAATAAAGATCATACAGAATTTTTTGCCAAATACAGAAGAGACATTTACCTGAATTGCCCTTCCTTCCTTCCACTGACTTCAGTCAGTGATTGCTCTGTTACTAGTCATTTGCAAGGGACCATGTGGGAAGGTATTTGCTGCTGTGTGCTTATGGTTACACAGCAGATCTTTCGCCACAGATCAAACTACACTGGATATAGGAGTCAACCATACCTTTCTGAAACAAAATCCTAAATACAGACCTTTCCAGTGATTTTCACACTGAATCAGTTGTCACCCAGTTCATGTACACTGAGGTCCTGATCCTTCTCAGTCAGTAAGGTTTTCCAGCATGGAGTGGGCAAGTAATTGGCAAGATGGTTAATAATAAAGAAAACAGTCCAAGGGTTTAGTCACTGCCAACAGCTAATGCCCCTGAGGAACAAGCTGCTTGATGTCAGTGCTTACAGCCGACTGAACACTAGAGCCTTACTTTTTTTCTTTAAAAATAGCATCCCTATTTACCACATTATTGTTAAGGAGTGATTCTTGCTTCCATCGTAGCTACTTTTCTGACTACATTAAGAAGTTGATCAAAGCAGTTCTATTGCTGCACCTGTGCCCCAGGTTAAAGTCTAGATATGAAAACCTTGGGAAAGACATGTACAAGGCAACGAGAGACAGACACACATCAAATTTGTTTGAGGTCCTGTTTGTTCACAGAGGAAAAACTGTGAATTCTTAAAACTTAAATTTGGAATGAAGTTATTAGTTATCAAATGATGCCTACATGTTTTTTCATATAGAAGAATATGTATTTGTGTATGAAAGTATCTAAGGGGGCCAACACATCTCACATGCTGAGCTGACCTTTTAAAGAGGTCTACTGGCATCTTTCTGAGAGGAAAAGCGGGCTTGGATACTGATACGTTGTGACTGGTTTTCTCCTCTGCACTTCTGAATTTCTATGTTCATCACAACCAAACAGTGCTGGGCTGAGCAAATGCACAGCAGGAAGGATTTGTACTGTGGATCTCCCACCCCATACAACCATATCAGTGCTAACAGGTTAAAGAAAAGGCAGGCTTTGCTCAGTGTGTTCCTGGGAGTGTTTTGGTTTGGGCTGTGGGGGCAGCAGTGTATGAGCTGCTGTTCTCCCTTGGCCATACTGAGGCCCAGCATGAAGGTATGACTGGCGAGAGGTGAAGGAGGGGCTGGTAGGAGAGATGAAGGCAGGAGAAACACCCTGGCAGCATGCGAAGTTGTGCCCCCAGGCTCACGTCTCTTCCTGGTGCCAGTGTAGCCCACAGTGCCACTGGTGAGCTTTCTGAACTGGAGTCATGGCTTCAGTGTCATTTAATTGAAGGCTGCTGTGCTCAGTAATGTGGTACATGTGCCTCGTGCTATTCATACCCTGCAATCTGTCACAGGGAAGCTGGGCAGAGGCCAAGCTCCCCCAGCATGGGGGATGTCCTCACGGTTTGCTCCATCCAGGGCGCAGCACCCAGAAGGGTTTGCCAGCATTTGAATGAGCATCCCCACTGCATCACCCTACTTATTTCACTGTCTCTCCATTGCTTTGACAGCAAGATATTAAGGCTTTTTTTTACTAGATACATGTGGGAGGATTTGTCTTTTGGATGTCTTGGAAAGAACATGGTCAAATTCAAATTATTTTGGCCTGAAGATAATGTCTATACCACAGACTGCAACACAGCATGGGTGGTCCTCGGGCTGGCTGCTGGGTACCAGAAGCAATGTAAGTGAAAAAAAACCCTTGCGCTTCACACAGAGCTACTCTGCCTTGGAGGTAGAGAAAAAGATGTAGCAAGGCTGGGTCTACATTGTTCCCTTAGAGATATGCTTCATCCTGTGTGTGATGTACCTGTGCTAACATAAGGAAAGGAAAACTGTAAGGAAAAATGCAGATGCTCCAGTCTCAGTCACAGAGGTGAATCAGGAGAGAAGGCAATAAACCATATTGCTATGGGACAAAATCTGGGACTGCTACGTAACACATGCAAAAGGGCGGCTACACTGTGGTAACCAGCATTATTTTGGGCTATTTTAAGACCTTTATCCTGAAACAGCATCCACACAGACTACTGGCATGTTCAAATGTAACGGCAGGGTTTATTAATTTATCTAAAGCTGAATTTGTGTGACATCTTGGTATGCAAGTGCATTTTAAAACAACCAAAAAAGCTATCAATAAGAATCCTATTAAACAGCAGATGACATACCAGGTATTGAAATGCACATGTGTTCCTGTGCTTTAAATAGTACAGGCTCATTATTTAAATACCAAGGAACTAGACTGACAAATACCAGGATTAGAACAGATACATTTCAAGCTTGGAAGGGACTATGATGGTCAGAAATATCTTCCCAGCATCATAGCAGCATACTGAGCTGGCAGGCACAAACACACACACACATCCATGCGTACGGAGCTGGTCATGCTCCCACTTGAATGCTTTCCCTACTCAGTGTAGGCTGGGAGAAAGGGTAAGAGAGAAAAAACCCAACTTATTTACAAGTTTTGTTTCTTTCTATGCTGATAAATAATTCCTCTGTGGAACACCGTCAGCAAACACGGGGGTGTACGGCTCTGTGTTTGCCATCAGCCAAGCCACAGTACAGCCTGCTCTTGCCAATGGCAAGAGCCCTGTGGGCTGGTTTCCATATGCCTTTCGCTGTCACCAGAGACTGCCTGTCTATGGCAGGCATCCTTGAATCATCTCAAGAGTAACTTCTGTTGTGCAGGCCTTTTTTCTAACCAGAAGTTTTTAAGCATAACTATGACCAAGATTCTCCTTAAAATCTCACAGCTAGAGCTAGATGAAATCTGGCTAAGGAGCCAGAAGAAGTGGAAGAGGAATTTGGAAGAAGAAAGATTGTATCTGCTTTTCATTTTCTTCCAGACCTGGAGTCCCATCAGCTCATCAGGTGCCAGCTCTTTTAACAGAAGAATTTACAAAGGACTCTCTTGTTCCCTGAACGTTTTGATGTGCCTGAAGTGAATTTCTGCAGGTTAAACAAAAGCATTTGCACATTCATTGCAATGGGAAAAGCCTAATGGCAGTCTGGTGCCTGATGGCATTTGTAGGTTTTCCAATGAAATGAGCAGGATTTTGCAAAAGGCACTTTATATGTTTGTTCTCCACTTTATACTTCATAAGAAGCAGGGAGACAGTGCTATTTTTCTGACTGTCTGGTTTTGTATAGTGAAGGTGTTCTTTAATATTGAAAATATTTAATAAGTATATCAGAAAGTTCAGAAAAAATACTTAAACCAAACTTATCTACTTTATACATCAATGTTTTAGGCTAAAGAGAACAGTTAATCAGGGAATTGAAGTAAATATCCACAGTAAGAGCTTTACATACTGGGTTTTGCTTGTGAACTTTTCTGGATGCACTAGTCATTTTACATTTATTTTGTTTTTCCCATGTTCATATGTAAGCAGCAAGATAAAACCTATCCTGATTACAACAGGGAAAAAAAAACCCTAGGCAAAATGCTATCAAATGCAGAGAGACCACAAGAGGAGAACACGTGTCTCCAATCATCACACAGGTGAAAAACACATTTCAGACAAAATTACTTTTGTGTTGCATTTTTTTATATCCTTTAAAAATAGGTAAATGTTACCAGATGATTGCTCCAGTGCATTACCTCTTTTCTAGTTATTTGCACCTGTGGAAACTGAGTGCAAAAACATGTTGGCTTCACAATGTTTGGGAAACATGTACAACTATCTTCAGGGTTAAACTGGATAACGATCCTGTTCATGTAACAAAGGCCAGATTTTCGTTTCACTTAGGCTAGTGTAAACTGCAGAAATATCTTCCAGGCAGTATGCAATGACTTTTTCTAATTCATCTGATTTCGCTTGGACACAGTCACCTTTGATGACCAGTAGGCCTATATCAATAAAAAGCACGTCAGAGGAATCATTTCCTTTAAACTAGTGCATGGAAAGTTAAAAAAAATAATAAAATCAACTTTTGTATTCTACAAAGGAAGGCACAGATTTATGCATAGTTAGAAACTACCACTCAGAGCTGCAGGTGGCAAAGCAAGCCAAATAACACAAACACTTCTGCAGGAGTGATACAGGGTCATTTGGGAATCTGTTTTTGGCAAAACATTGGGAAGCACAGCTGGGGAAGGCTGTATTTCAGAAAGGGCAACAGGATACATCTCTTTTCTCATCAATATTGGCTGATGTTTGGGGTAGAAACGCAGTGCCTGCCCTCATCGTACTCATGTCACTGCTTCATTTTACTTTTTCTTTCCCTCCAAGACAGATGCATGGGGAAGAATATGAAGAAAACTACAAGATTACTTCAAACACATTCATCATCCTCAAGGCAGGGCACACCCTCCTCAGTACTGACGCTGGTTTAGGGTGTTGGGCAAGAAAGAGACATGCTCCAAGTCCCTCAGCTGCCTTCCCCAGCTCCTCTGTCACCAGTCTGCCACCTCCTCCTGGCTGCATACCACACCAGCATCCTCCTCATGGGAGCAGTTGTGTGTGCCGATGTCGGCATGGGCACACTCTAGTAGCGTCTTCTCCTGTCCGGAGCACTGGACATCATCCAGGAGAATGCGAAGGGAGGATCCTTCCCCAAACTCTGCCTTCTTGCTGGCCCGCACCACGTAGGGGAAGCCCAGCTGGCGGCACACCACAGCAGCACCGAGTGAGCTCCAGCCATCGTCACACACTGTGCCCCATTCTCCATCAATATAAACCTCCACCCGGCCCCAGCTCTGGCCGCGGTTCTGCTGCTGCATCAACCGCACGGCGCCATTCTGCAGTGGTGGGGCTGTGCTGGGGGGCTTCTTCTTCCTGCGCTGTCCTCTCCTCTCTGCTCCCTTCCTGGGCTTGGAGGCCCTGCCACTCGGTGCTGCTGTGGTGGATGTCCTGCTTCGGTTCCCTGGTGGTGGTGGGACTTGTGCCACCCAGTCCCCAGACGGCATGCGGGGGGTTCCGGGGTCCGGCCTGCCACCCCGTGGGGCCTCCGTCATAGCCTTCAGCTGGGGACGTGGTGTTGGTGTCTTCATAATCAGCTCTGTTGAGGAAAAAAAACAGGAAACTATGAGTCTGTCCCTCCATGGACAACATGTAAGGACAACTACATAAAACCAGCACTGATTTTTTACTTACTTGTTTCTTGGAATCTGCTTACTTGATCATGCTGAGAAGTAACAGTGCTCCTGGTGAACCAGTATTTTGCCAGCAAAAGATGTCGGCTGCTTTTAGTTAGCAGACAGGACTGCAGGGCTTAATGCCAACAAGCAAGCCTCTTTCAGGAAGGAAACTCCAAGCAGTTTATTGGCAAAACCTCAGCCTGGACATTAAAGGGTGGGCACTGGAGTTTCACAGTCAGAAGCGGAGCTCCCCACCATACCCTTCTCCACTGCTGAAAGCATGTTGAAGACAAGCACTGTTTCTGCCCTTCTCTTCATTACTAATGATTGGATCATTACTAGACAAGAGCGCTGGCCTCCCCACTGGGTCAGATGCTTTATTCAGAGGAGCTGAAATCAGGAACATTCAAAATCAATTCTCTCTGGCAACTGGAATGTGCAAAGGGAACGGAGTTGCCAGGACAACACATAAAACAGGATTTGGAGTTGCTTTTTTTTCTTCCTTATATAAAAAAAAAAAGAGTCTTGAACTCTGAAGAGCTGAAAATTCTTTGCTGTCACAGTTTCCAGGCATTACTGGACTTGCTTATTCACATGGGCTCTATTTTTAGCATAAAAATAAGTTTTTCCTTGTCAGAAAGAAGCAATTCAGAATTGTTCAGAATAACAATCGACTGAGCTGGGAAGTGTCAGAGACATTTGCAAAGACATCACAACTTTTTGAATTATATCCTAGATTTACCTGTTCTCATTCATCATGTGCTTTGTAGTACTGAGACAAGAGAAAAATATGACTGACTTATTCATGCTTAATATCTATTGTCCCCAGAAGACAAACCCTTGCAGTGGTCCAGTTTTTCCAAATTGTATTTGTGGCCTGAAAAGATTTCCCTTCTTTGGAAACTGAGGTTTGGAACTGAGGTTCTGAAGGCAATAGAGATACGAAAGCCCTACCTGTGTACACCTCAGTTGCTGGAGACTGATCTGGCAAAGCAGTTTAAAATCCTGGAATCCATATAACGGTATGTAGGACTGCATGAAAGCTAATAGTCATCTGGGAATGCTTTTCACTGCACTGAATCAAGTTGTTATTGTATATTACTCTTCATTAAGGTATTTATTAAATATACTTCCAGCAAATGCACTTATCTTGCTAAAGCAAGACACATGCTTTGGTGATTCTATTGCATTCATACTAAACACTACCCAAAACAGCAAAATATTTACAGTTACAAATCCTTGCTTGCATGCTTCTGAATCAAATTTTTCATGCTTGGTTTTCAGCTAAAAATGAATTTAGTTCTTGAGACGCTTAGCAGAATCTCTCCCACCATTTCTAAGCTTTACTTCATGATGAAAACTACCTTGTAAATAAATCCAAAAGATTTAGTTATATGTACAGTTTAAAAATCTGAACTTTGGACTTGCATAGAGAACAACACCTAAGCAGAGACAAGAACTGTGGAACACAAACCAGATAACTAATGTTTGGAAACTGCATGCATAGCTTGCAAAGGAGAATGTTTCTGAAGATGTGGTGAGTGTTCAGACACGTCAACAGTCAATAATTAGCCTTAGATCTTGTTCCGCCTTAAAGACTTCATCTTGCAAGGTGCTGAGTGCCATAATTCCTACCTGAAGTCAAAGCTGTAGGAACTGTCAATGACTCAAATGCAGTGTAAGATGATGAATGTTATTAAAAATTAAATCATGTATTCTGCCATTTGAGTTCCTGCAGTAATAGTAATTTCATGATAAAGTTGTTAGAGTGCTTCCTAGGTACTTACGTGTGTAAACAAAATGCACAGGGGGAAAGAAAGATGATGCTGCCTAATCTTAATTTTGAGATCCTAATAGTGTATTTAATTTTTCGCACTTAACATAAATAGTACTTGTCTTGCTGCAGATTCAGCAACATCATTGAGTGCTCCAGCTTTAGCAGTAAAATACTTAATTTAGTATGAAGCAAGCAAAAAGCCCTGGAGGGTTTGGATAAGCCAAAAGTTCACCTGAATGGCTGATCTCTTCAAGTTTTTCGGGAGTGTTTTCTCATCCCATATTCTCTCACATCTAACAATGATTCAGCTCTCATCTTGCTCAATGAGCTATTTCCCAACCCTTTAGCCATCATATCCTTCAGCTCCTGAAGTGCTCCTCACTACCTGAAGGCACAGCAAAAAATCACTTATCATTGAAAAGTGCCATTGAGCAAGACAGTATCTCACTCTAGAAACAATTACAGGGAAACCAAGTTGGTGGGTAATGAAACAGGCATGATGTAACGTGGAAAAGGGAAAAGGGGCAGAAACTACAGAGAAGATTTCACATAGCCAGGAGAGGGGGAAATATGTTATGCCTTATTTGAACCAACTCTTCTTATCCAAAAGCAGCTGGTAAGCATTAATTTTGAGGATACTCTGAAGAGTGAAGTTCTGGGTGGTCCCCACACACACAGAGATAGTATGAGCCTGGAATTTGTATTTACTGCCAGCTAACATGCACCAGTAGTAAACAGCAACAGTGACACTCACTCTCCTTTGGCACAAACTGGATGCGCTTGCTTTTTACTTTCACTGGCGATGGCTCAATTCGACATTTTCCTGGTGGTGCTCTCCTGCAAGAAAAGGGGCACGTAGAGTGCACAATTAATTCCTTTCTCCTGGCACTGAGAGTCTTTACTTCCCATTGTTTTTCTAAGAATGTAATGCTCATTGGGAAAAAAATTATGTCTGTTTAAATGATCCATGTAATCTCTTACAGTAGAAAACATAATTAAACAATCACATCTCTGCATTGATCAAAGTCCAAATATTCACAAGGGAGTGGAGTCCTCTGGCTGTGTTTTCACTTGCCATTGTCAAATCCATTAAGGAAATAAAACATTGGCAGGTTCAAGCATCACAGAAAGATTAATCAAACTGAAAAAAAAAGTTACAGTATACGCTGAACATCTGACATAAAGGTCACGTGTATGCAAGTTTTCCGACTGTCTTCAGAGAAGCAAAATAACACGCTATTATTCATACATAAAGGCCAGACAAAAGGCTAGCTACTACTAAAGTAGTACCAGAAATGCATTAGTTTCACAAAAGAGCTCTGTCTCCTACAGAAATTCCCTCTTAGCATGGTTTGCCATGGAGGTGTATCTCACTTCTGAGAACTTACATCCAGTTCATCATCACTTTTCCCGTCTTGTTAATCTGCAGACTTCTTCAGTATTCAGAGGTCTTCAAACTGGTTCAAAAATGCATGATATTTGCATTTGGAAGGTGTAACTCCTTTGTAATTAGGATTGTTTGCCTTTGTATTTCTGTGGAAGCCAAGAGCTTCTCTCTCTACTACTGACACATGGATGTTCCCTACTCTTATGATTTTTTTCTGTACTCTGCACATGAAAGAAGCTTCTTTTTAAACTTAGGACTTGTTTTTTACTTCTGCTTTAATTTTGCAGACCTTGCGTAATACCGGCCTCTTAATGCACAATTTACAGGAACTCTGCCACTGTGTTAGATAATGGAAAATGCTCCTGACAGAAGAGAGTCAGAGGAAAACACGCAGCAGCTCTGAGGGTTGCTTAACTTTGGAGTCTGGTTCCAACATAAAACCAGACAAGTGGTTTTATTCAAAGTGCTCAGATAGCTAAAGCTGTAAATGTAATCTATTGAAAACAAAAACAACATAAAAGCTACAAAAGTCTTACTCTCCGTGTCTGGCTGAAAGTAGTTTGGTGTTTAGCCAACAATAGTAATGCTTAAAAACAGTAAGATGGAAAAAAACAGTTGTAAATCTTCCAATGAAACACAGTTATTCCCTGCCTTGCCCAGTTTCAGATACACACACAGGATCCAGAAGGTTTAACAGTGGTATTCTTTCCTTGTCCAAGACATTTTCCTCTTTGAAATACAAAAAATAATGTACTTTTTGAATTAAGTTCTGGTTTGTGCAAGAAAGCACTGCAGGTCATGCTGCAGGTCAGCTTCCTGTGCATGGGACTCTTACAGGAGATGCAGCTGGCTACAAAGGACAGAGAGGAACTGAGAGAAAACACCTTGAGGAAAAACAGCCTCCTTAGGGGCATGGATCTAGAGAAACTTTGCCTGAGAAGGACAAAACACCCATAAAATCCTCCCTTAGCTTTCAGGAACAAATTTCCCAACCCATATAACACCAAGAAGCCCTATAACAAGTGTAGACTCCCACAACTGCAGGAGCAAAGCAGACCCACAATGGGTTGCTCCAGCCATTCCTTGATGAAGCTTCACAGAAGGGCCCAGCTTAAGAGAAGAGATAGTTATTCAGTCAATATCATTCATCACATCCACATCTGGACACACACTTCACCACACTCAGGCTTTGCAACAAAAGCATCTCATACCTAGAGGTGTCCACCACTTTGTACACCACTCCACGGGGAGCCGTGGCACTTGGTACGCCGGTGGACATGAAGTAAAGCTCCCCTGGGGAAAAAGATAAAAAGCAAACAGACACAGCTATGAAAACTCTCCATAGAGCTTCTGTCCTGTACAGCAAAAAGGCATCAACTCTGCATCACAGGTCAGAGGGCATCATGAAACGTGGGACCAATGTGGGGATCTGTCTACCAAAGGAAATTAGTCAGATTTGTGTTTGGGTTTGTAGTGAGAGTTCATCCACAGTCCAGTGGCATAAAATACACTTAGTGAGTGGTAGCTTTTACATATTGTCATGAAATATTATTTGGACAAGTTTCCACTGCAGTTTCAGCTGCCCACACTTCTGCTGTCATCTCAGTCTGCTCTGTGCCCTTTAACTTCTCTAATGCAAAACAGCCAAACCTTGAATTCCCTTTCTCAAAATGAAATGAAAGGAAATTAAGAATGATCACACTGTCTTCTGCTCTTTTGGACGAAGTGCTCCTTTGGGGTGAATTACAGGAGAACAAGATTTTGCTTTTGCTTGTCTAGCACACAGTGAGGTGTATCTCACACGAAAGGCATTTGGTTCATCACAGCTCTGTCAAGCCACATGGGTAGGGCTTGGCCTTCATCCAAACAATATCCACCACCCTTTATTTAACTTATTTTCTCTTAACTGCATTTCTATCCTTCTGCTCCCATTGTGCAGGTGACACCAGGATAAGGAATCCCTCCAGCAATTTCCTTTCCTTTTGCCAGCTGAAGCTCTTGAGCGGTGCAATGAAAAGAACTGGAAAGAAAGAATACACTTCCGATTTTTTTTTTTCAAAGGGGAAAAAAAAGAAGAAGCAGCAGCAACAGAGAACTGCTTGGTAAGGCAGATTTCTTCGGGTGTCCTATGGGTACCCATACTTCCAATGGGAAGAGGGGAAGGAGCAGAGGGGTCAGAGTGGGCAAAAGAAGGTGTGGGTAGTTGGTGGCAGCTGGTGCTGGCTGCTGAGCCTCCCTCCTCTTCCTTGCTCTCCTGCTCTGCCCTGGGCTGAGCTCCTCCATATGCTCCCAGCATCCCAGCAACCCCTGGGTGATTTCTTCCTTTTTCTGGTGAACTCCATTAATGACAGGCCACAGGCAGCCTTGATGCAAACAGTGGTGGGAAACACTTGTCACTGTGTCTTACGGTGCAGTGATGGGTGGTTTACATTCCACCCCCCTTTCCTGGAAATTACCAGGCAGAAATATGGATGCTCAGGCCATGAAGCACACAGGCTGTCACATGTGTGCCCCACACACATAGCACAGTGCCTGGGATGTCCCCAGCACATTCAGCTGCCAGGGAATGGGGCTGCTGGCTTTATAATGGCTGTGCAGTGAGCCAAATATATAGGTGTCCCCAACCACATACACACATCCAGTGCACCAGCCACATTAACATTCATCGGAGCAACAACCCCAAAAAGAAAACACTTCTGTGAAGAAAAGCTTGTTAAAACAAACTTGTAAAAGACAAGCTGTGTAAAACCCAAGATTCCCAGCACACCATAAAGGTGCAAGAGAATACTCTTCACTGCAGATAAAGCAACTTCCCTAAGCTGTTACCAACAAACTTTTTTCCGTTATAATAAAGCAAACACAAGGCAAATACCTACGTCTGAGAACAGACTCCTGCCCCAATTTCCACTCAGCATTGCTGTGCTTGTGCAAATCACAAAAGCACAGGACAGAAGAAGGGTAGCAGGGTTTTAGCCCCCCTTTGCACAGACTCTGCCCTGCAGGATGAGGGCATGAGCAAGGGCCACAACTAATGGCTTGATACCGCACTTAGCAGCCCTCTGAATTGGCATAAAGCTGATTTAAGTTAAGTTATGCTGATTTTAGGATAAGACAGCCTTCTCACCACAGCACTGTGAAACATCTCTAACTTCCGTGAACATTAACCATTAAAGGAGATATATTTACCTCCCCAAAAGACAGAATTCCAAAGCCAAACTTCTGAGCTAATGCTTAACCCAGATGATTTGCATTTACATGATAAAATTTGCATTTATGTGGCATGCAATGGATGTTTTGTTTGTGCATCATCCATACCTAATGTTATCTGCAGGAAAAACAGATGTTAAAAAACTGGGGCATTCTGGACACAGGTGCTTGCGACCACGAGCCAAGACCTCCCCACAGCAGGGCAGAACATCAACTCCTGCATTTCCAAGTTACATACAAGGCTAGCTAGCAAGGAGGCTAAACACCGCAGGGCTCATCCTGCCGCCATCCGCAGCCGGGGGGCTGCACACTCTGCCTGCCCCACTGCAGGGCTGGGCAATTAACCAACCCTTGTATGACCAAAAGGAGAGGCCACCAGCTTTCCCTCCACCCACGACTCTTTATTTTCTCCTTTTCAAATCACAGCATCTCCCTTCTAGAATGAAAATGTCTCCAGTCTTAAAAAATATAGCTATGCAAAGCTCCACTGAGACTGCATCCTTCAGCCCTATGCAAGGCAAAATCCGAGCTGGCACTAATAAAACATGGACTTAAGCAGACTTTTGCAGATGCCTACACTCAAGACATAGCATAGTTTTCATTTTGCTTCTCCTCAAGAGGTACAAATATTCCAGGCCTGGGTGAGTGGGTTCATAATTACTGTTCATTACCTCTGATTCCCTGCATCTATTAAAACCACTAACAGCCTCCTTGACTAGCCAAGAGGCATAGACTTTCTTTCTCTTGGGTATCATCTTCTCAGGGCCTGCATTCCCGAAGGCATGGCACCTTGAGGTTTCTTTTCTAAGCTGTGCTTTATTGTATTTACTCCTTCGTTCCCGGTCCCCCCAGAGGGTAGGTGTGCAGGCAACAGCACACAGCCCCAGCGCCGAGGGATGTGCCTCTCCAGTTCCCCCTGCAGGCACTATCTGGCACACTGGCCTCAAAATTAGGGTTGCAACTTTGATTTGATATTTGGGATACGACTTTTAAAGACTGAAGGGGTCTTGCTCTGCCCCCCCATCATACTCTACTCCCCCCAAGAGCCCTCTCTGACCCCTTCTCTGGTGTTTTCCTCTGAAGAGAAGCCACAAGCACACCATTCAGAGTGACAAAGTTAGAGGATTACCTGCTTCATCTTCAGCAAAGGAGATGATGTATTGGTAATAGTTATTGATAAGCCCAGGGAACATGCAAGTCTGTCCCGTCCCCATGCAGATTTCACTGTACTGCCACTCTCCAGTAGCATGATCCTCCTTCAAAGACATCAGGCGTCTGCAAGGCAAAATAACACTTCCACAACACAACCAAGAATATGATCTATGAACATTAATGAAGACAGCTGGAAGGATCCTTATTGCTTCATACCCACATCAGCTGCAACACGAACTGCAGCTCCTCAAAAACAAAGGATAGTTAATATTAAAACAAGTATATGCCCACACAAGACCCTGTCTCTCTAGGGCAACACACGCACATGAAAACACAATAGGGGAAGGTTTAAGGGATATCAGACTACTGGGGAGGAGGCAGATGCTGCCAGATACACAGAGTGCCTGGCCTCGCTGCAGCTCTGTGACCTCTCTACCACCCAGGACCAATGCATCACCCAGGGCAGGCAGTGCAGGCACTGCAGACAAGAGACCTGGAGATGCAGAAGTGGCAAAGGCACAGGGGAAACAAGGCAGTCTCATGCCTGCCTCACCATAGGTCTTCAGCAGACTCAATGCCAGACAATGTAGTTTTTTCTTTCTGTTTCTTCAGTGTCTGAAAACATTGCATCAGAGCATCTGGAGGGGGTTAGGATGTATTTGAATGCTTTTGTACACCACTTCCAGGACTTTAAATGAACATTATATCATTGCCTTTTTATTTGTACTGGCACAATGTGGATCAGCGACATTGAGGGCTGCTGGAATGCACAGCACCATGGAATAACGGTTATGTAAAACATGCCATGTGAACCCTCTGGAATGAGCAGTCAGGCTTTGTATGGTGCTTCCAACCAGCAAGTAGAAGCATGGCCTCAGTTGTTAGACTGCATGTGCACTTACAGGTGTAATACCACCGGAGGAGCTTGGCTGAGGGCACAGCTCAGCAAGTATCTGAAGTATTTACTTACCCACTCATAAAATCACCAAATATGTACAGGCCATTCAGGTTTGGAGACTCACAACCCCGATAGACATAGCCTCCCGTAACTGATTTCCCCATTTTGTGTGGGTATGCATAAATTGGGAGCACATCATCTGTAGGAGAGAAAAGATCTGTGACTTACTTTGCTTTACACGATGCAGAACAGCCGCTTTTCTAGACAGGTCTGAGACTAGCACAGTACAAATGAAGTGCCAATGGAGTCATACTTAGTTTGATTTTCACCTTTTCAGAACCACGCTTGATAGCCCTGCCTAGCTGGCTGTGCTCACCATAGCTAAAGGAGATTGGTCAGTGTTTCATTTGCAATACAAGCTGAAGCCCTGGTAAGCCCAAGTGCTCTCTATCACCCAGACACCTCACTGTCCTCCTGAGCCCTTCTCCTCCCCCTCCAACCCAGCTCTGTTAGTGCAGCTTCTGGCCCATTTCTACAGGATGCTGGTTTTGCTACAAATTTGCAGATTATTCTTAGAGTCACTGCACCCATGCAGAGATGTGTGCCCAATGCAGCTTTGTTTTAGGGGTGAAAGGGCAAAATAGAGAGAGGTAACTCCAGACTGCAGGCACTGATGAAAAGATATGTCAGATGTCAGCACAAATAGCTTCTGTTTCTCTGACACAGAGGAGCTTAACCTGAAAAGACCATCAAATATTTATGGTATGGTACAGGCAAAGTGTAGTACTGGTATATTAATTGTAAAATACAAGTTAAAACACAAGGCAGAGGCAAAACAGGGGGAGATGCCCTGATTTTGAGTCTCCACTAGATGCTTCTTCCTCTTTCTTTTGGAACTCCTGGTATCTCCTCGTGGTACTCACCCCTCCTCATCCTGCTGGTGTAACAGATATGCTTCAAGCAGCAAACCCAGCAGCTCTGCCAGAGAGGAACCTGCACCAGTGGCATTTCATCTAAAGCAGGTGTTTTCTACACTTCAGCTGCACTTACCTTTTTAAAGGGGCTGTGACATTTCACTGTTCTAACAAAAGCGTCTCTAAAGGCATCAGAAATTGTTCTGAATCCCTGGAGATGTCAGTAAAGTGCCTGCCATGAATGCTCACACAGACGCTGTCACACAGGAGAGCACTAAACGGGCTCTCTGAGAACTGCTTCAGCAAAGGCAGTGCAAAAAATCTGCTTCCTGTGCTCCAAATTTCTATAAAGAACAATCACTGCCACTGTACTTGTAGCTAAGTTAATAAAAGGAAGGAAGTCAAACTAAGTTAATAAAAGGAAGTCAAACAACACCATGTGGCTCATAGAAGAGAAAAAATATCAGAATCTTGGCTAGTGCAAATCAGTGCCAGCCTACTGCCCCCTGAATCTCAGGGGAGATGCTCCAGCACAGGATGTGGTCACATCAGACCTTGCAACACAATACAGTCTGACTTCACACGGGCACTGGAATTTAGCCACCCAGCAAATACCCTGCATCCAGGTTTCAAAAGTTAAAAGAAAGCAATAAGGTTTTCCTTTTTTTGGCATAGCTAAAAGAAACAAAAATACACTGCACTCTGCTGCCTGCAAAGCGGGCAGTGCGTACAGTGTTTGACCAGATTACACAATGTGTTTCTTTCTTTTTTAAAAAATAAGGACACTACTTTTGAGTTATGGAGAGAAATACAATTGCTCCAAATTCTTCTCACTTCTGCAGGGAAGCTTACTTTATGTGGAAAACATTAAATTGCTCCCCTAAATCACAGAATCACCCAGGAATTTGACTAACACAGGCCACCTAGAAAAACAGCAGCTAGCGTGTTTCCTTTTCCTCCTAACTCAAAAACGGTAACATTTGGACTTTCAATATGTATTCCCAAGTCAGTTTCCTTCTAGCCTGAGACAACAGAGGTTTACATCTCAAAAAAAGATGTAAACCTCCATCAGGCAGCCAGGCTCTGAGGGCAGGAATTAAAAATGACAGTGCACAAAACTGCACAGTGGGAGGCGCAGTTAATTTGGAGAGCACATCTATTTACCCATTGAAGAGTTGGTGCAAAGCTTTTTATCGTAACAGCTGAACCCTTCCCTCGCCCTCCAGCCGTAATTTTTCCCTTTCTCCACGATGTCAATTTCCTCGTATTTATTCTGCCCCACATCCCCGCAGAAGAGCCGTCCTTTCCCCTCCTTGGTGTGAGGCTCGCCCCGATCAAAAGAGCAGCGCCACATGTTTCTCACTCCATATGCATAGATTTCAGGGCGAGCCTTGGGGTCATTAAGAAAAGGGTTGTCAGGAGGGATTCGGTACAGAGGCCCGCGGTCATTGTTGTTTACATCAATCCGCAGCACTTTGCCCAGCAGAGTTGATCTATATTGGGAGAAGAAAGGAAAGGAAAAAATAAAGAAATAAAACTAGACCCTGGTTAAACATCAGAGGTGGTTTTTTTTGGGATGTCTAGGGTTTCGTTGTTCTTCTTTTGGAAAAGACAAGTCTTTCAACATCTCTGGAAAAACAAACATCTCAACAACTGTAAGCCTTCAAGCAGCACTGACTTCCCACGACCCACTGCGCTGTGTGGAGCTGCCATAGGGATGGGTCCACTCTCACTTGTTCTGGGCGTTTCCAAAGGTCCCAAAAGGATCTCCAGCCATGCCTCCATCTCCAGTAAATATATAGAGATACCCATCATCTCCAAAAAGCAGCTCTCCTCCATTATGGTTAGAAGCGGGTTCTTCTATTTCCAGGATTATCCTAAATGAAAACAGGGAGGAGGCATTACCTATTGCACAATCCCTAAACAAAAGGCAGAGCAACTCTAATGTTGACACATCAGAAACAGATTTGTTTCGACAGAAACTCCTCCATACCCACATTACTGCATTTTGCTTAGGCATAGATGGTCTTCTAATCTTAAATAATTCGTGCATACTTTCCAGATTACAGAAATACCAAGATGAGCAATAAGGAAAATCTAGGAAGTCACATGACAGAAGGTTTTTTTAATTAATCATACTTTTCCTCTGATTCTTCCTTCCCCTTACTAAACTCTTTTTTTTTTTTTTTTTTTAAGAAAAGTCATCTCAGATTAAATCCGGTTGTGAACTGCAAGAGAAAGGACTCCTGTCTGTCTGTGCATCTGGCCAGCATTTGGCACCATCCTGACAGGCGCTGTCAAGACAAACCTAAAACTTTTCAAACACTGAGAAACAGTTAAATTCTTAAAGAAGAATCCTTAAATGAGAATTACACAGGACTTCATGAATTTAAAGAGTGGTTAAAAGGAGCCCCACCAACAAATTAACATTTTGACAAAGGTTATTCAAAGCAGTACCAACAACCTTTACCTTAATTTTGAATCCAAACTGACTCTTATGTTTATTTCATGCACCTGGCACTCCTTTCATAGTAAGAAAAGAGTGAAATACATAAAGTATAACTTTATAAAGCCACAAATATATGCAGTGGAGGTTCCTAGGTATAATAATTAAAGTTTATTTTACTCCAGCTTCTAAAGAAGTCCGGATTTCATGCTGGCAGTGCCTCTTAATAGCTGCAAACCTAATTAGAATAATCACTTATCCACCTCATTTTTAGTCAGGTTTTCTCCCTTCTGAAAGTACTGATAGCTACAATCATGATCAGATTGCAAATTGTGGGAAGGAACCCAACTATGTAATTACTGTCTCCTGCTGCGAAATGTCACCACCTCTGAGTTAAGGCAACTGTGCACAAGCTCACAGACTCCAGCTGCAGGAGCAGGGAGGATCCTATATGGATACAAAGATGAATCCTTCTCATCCTTCCAAATAAGACAGAAGAAAACAAAACACATCAAGCAGAAATCTGTGGACACACAGACACATGCCTTCCTGCTATGGCAATGCACACCACATGTCGGCCTGAGCTCCCTCTTGGGCAGCATCTCAGGGTGAAGTCAGTGGGACCTGTGCCTACACAAGCACAATCGGACCATAATTTTGTTTTCTTAAGTTTTTGCCGTACTAACCATTGGCTAAACAAGTACAGAAAATGTTACAAATGGAGAGACTGAGGATGTTTTAATAAGAGAGTTCATGGGCCCTGACTCTGCAGGTTTAAACTCTGGACTTGCCTTCCTGAGGACCACGTTTCAGTTCCCCTTACCTGTTATCTACAGTACTGCTTACACTGTAATTTCTTTATAAATCAGCATCCTCTTTTAAACATTAAGCTACATGCATTTCTGAGCTAGAATCATCCACTGCTGAGTATTTGGAAAGCTCCTAATACAACCCCTCTAGCAAAGCAAAAATGTTGACATAATATTAAAGGGTCTCTTAAAACAGTGGTTCTATTATGCGGTTATAAATCTATAGACTTACTACACAAACAAATCTCTTATTATTTGTGCATATTAATGTGGATCAATTGCAGGATCAGACTCAAACAAATGAAATTTCCAATCAAAATGCACTCAGTAACAACATAGCGGCTTTCATTTTAGTTAATTTTATATTAAATTAGTAATATCACAGGGTTGAGCTGTCATCCAGATAAAGAAATATGGGCCCAAATCCATCTTCAGTCCAGTATCACTGCGTTTGTTCATACTGAATTTAATAACCTTTGGAATGAATTTCACTCATGCACTGCAGAAGTCCATTTTAAAGGGTAATCATCACAATACCAAAAAAGCACCAACTAAAAATCGAATCTCAAAATACTAACCGTAATCAATGTTTAAACAATGTTCAGCTAAGTCTGATGACACAGAAGAACTGAGAGATGTAAATGTTTTATCCCTGAGCACTTGCAGCTCATCCATGAAGGACATGCATATTCTCTGTCTCAATATGCTATAAACAGACTTGAACTAATATGCTAACACACTAGAATGCAAGAACAATATTCAGCTAAATAAGCCTCATTCAATAATAGCCTTTGAAAAGGCACAAGCTGCCTTCTGAGATCCACATACATTTGCCAAAGAAACGTGTGTACAATACCTTTCAGAACCATGGTCCAAAGCATTCATGTCAGCAGGAGAAATTCTGAACTCACTGATTCGGATTCTCTCTTCATAATGAACTTGAACTGAATAGTAGACATACACTTTACCATTAAATTTGAATTTAGGATGGAAGACAATACCTAGAAAACCTCTCTCGTCTCCTTCCCAAGGTGAGGTAAGTACGGCTTCGCTGATATTCAGAAATGGCTTTTCAAGCCTGGATCGATTGGGGAGGTAGGTCCACACCAGGCCAACCTGCTCCGCAATGAAGAACCTGTGGGTGCCATCGTTGGCGTGCACCATCGCAACAGGATTGCGCAGCCCATTGGCAACCTCCATGAGGCAAAGCTGGAGACAGCCCTCTGCATCAGCAGTCACCAACCCCAGGTTTTGGTTAAGGTTCTGGTTCGCCAGCAGGTGTGGGAAGCAGTAGTCTGTGTCCTCCAAGGACAGGTAGCGGCAGAATTTTGCTGCGTTATTCTCCAATGCAATTAACTCTTGGTCTGCAGAGAGATAGTGAAAAATGGAGCGGCATTTTTGCCACACTTGCAGGCAATAGTCTTGGCAAAGTCCTGGTATTGTTCGCACAGGGGTGGAGGGATCCTCGGCGTCGTACAAGTGAGCTGCATATGGAGAGCATTCCTAGAGGGACAGAGAAAAAGCCTCAGGCAATTTCTTGGACCAGATCTGAAACAGCTGAGCAGCAACACTAACTGGAGAAAATTCACCTTAATTACAACATACATTGTGGTTTATTCTGAAGAGAAATTAACACAGGAAGAGATCATAGAAAGGGGGTTTATCTCAGCATTCATGGAAATGATCTTCAATATTCCTGGTGAAAGCTGGCTTCCTCATGCTGTTATTCATTTATTCCAAACATAGCACTAACTCAAGAAAACCATCATTGCCACATATCTTGCTACATCACCCCAGTGGACTGCACTGGGGAAAAACACACTTTTCTCTTGGATGCTCTGACTTCTTCTGTGGAATAATGAGCAGATTGATCACAGCACAGAAGTAAAACCTAATAGTTAGCTAAGAAGATTCAGGTCCTGCATCTCCAGGATGAGGAGGGAAAAGGAAAGGTCTGCAAGGCCAAAATCTGCAACTTTCATACCTCATCATCTGATAATCCAGACATGCACCTCAAACACAGGTACGATTTGCAGGTTGGAAGGAGCAGGATGAGAAGGAGGAGAGGAGAAGGATGCCCATCCTTTGTACTGCACAGTGCACCTAGCCTGGGATGCTATCACTGCATACACTGTGATATAAAGGCAGCTAGACTCCATCCTTGCTGGGGTCCACCTGCCTTTGCTAATGGATCTTTGCCTACAGACAGCTATATACCTGACTGTAAGGAGTGAAATGCAGTGAAATGTATCTTGTAATCATGACACTGGCCACCAAGTTCTGCAGGGAGTGCTCAGGCTACAGGATTTCAGACAGTGAACACCAAACGGCTGTAGTCCAAGAGAGGTCCACCGGCAGCAACTGCAGCTCAGCCCTCATTTATGAATGGTGCAGCCTTGGAAATCTACCCAAGGACTGAATCAAGTTGACACAATTCATTGTATTCTCCATCATGAGAACTCCTACAGGCATATTTTCCTTACGTAAAAAGCTGAAATCCAGTAAAACTGTCTGCAAGTTACAAATTGGCCAAAAGAACTCAGTTCTGCTTTGGAAGGACTTTTCCTTGTAATAAGCACACAATATTTTCCAGTTGCAATGCATCTTCTCAACAATCATCTCAAAAGTGCTCTTCAACCAATATAATATGACTCTGTGAAGGCTCAGTCATTTTAATAGGGTTAAGTAAATAACTAAGGCAAGAAAGGTCAGAAGATGTTATCCCTCTTGAATAAATTCTGCATTTTTTAATTCCTAGCTGGCATTTCACCTAAGCAAAACCAGCTCAGTTAAAAAAAAGAATAATAAAAAATAGGGAGCTGTTTCTAAACCTATAGGGAGCTATTTCTTAATGCAGATTATTATACTATTCAATAGCTGAAAAGATACAACATCTGAGATATTGAAATATTTAAATTAGCTGATAAGTACACACAATATTTAATTTTTATTTTCCATTACATACCATAATAAACTGAGAGGCCATACAACAGATCATTAGTGCACAATAAGCTTTCCTCCTGGAATGTCAAGTCATTCATTGCAAAATGAAGGTTATTATGCGTTCAAATGAGCAGCAATTAATGTACTAAAAAGGAGATTGAGCGTGACACAAAGCACTGAAATTACACAGGCCGATTGGGTAACGGCACTCAGCTCAGTTACACGAGGTGTGCCAGGGACAGAAAGAGCCGAAGCATTTGCCCATGCATTTGTTATGACTGAAAAATTGGCCTTAGAAGACAAACTGAAACAAGACAGAATGGGCTTTTAGAAAGGCAAGGCTGGATGGGAGCTCAGTCTGTTGCTGCCTAGGGAGGTTTCACATTCAGAGGGAGGAAGCCCCCTGGTTGATTACTGGGGTGCTCTTGGTTCTCTGAAAGCCTCTAACAAAGCACACAGTGATCTTATGCATTATAAAGCAATGTCCTGGCTTCAGCACTGGCATTAAAAACAGCACAGTGGTATGGTTTCCCTGTCCCTTTACTGCTGTGGGCCCAGCCTCAGGTGTGTTTGAACAGCAATTGTGGGTAACTTCCTCACCCCTTACCACATCCCTGGTAGTATACATCTGTTTACAGGAGCATTATGCTGGCAGTGATGTTCAGAGATCCATCACACAGAACCCAAGCTTGTGCCTGGGGTATTTTCCAGTCATATGTGGAGTATCTTTCAACTTGTACTCTGCAAGAGGTGGAGCCTGGTGACTGATCCTGAATTTCTCAGTTTCTGAAGCAAATGCTGTGGTCCTTCACCCTTCACATCATCTTGTCAGTTCACTAACTCAAAACACCATTCAACTCTACATTCAGACACAGTCCAGCATCACTAATAGATCTGCATTCTCATTTCTAAATGGCATTGTCTATTCATTCATTTTAATCTATGATAATCAAGGAACTGATGGGCAGATGTTCAGTAACTTCAGTAGGGATGGAACAAGTTCACACTATGAAAATAACTCATTAGAAAATAAGTGACATGGAGACAAGTTAGCCAAATCCATCCTAATTGCTCCAGGAATTCAGAAGCAGCTATTGCTCTGAGGAACTGCAGTCTGAATCTGGACAAACACCCTCATCAAACAATGGTTATCTACTGCTGCTATCAGCCCAAAGAAGGCAATGGGACTCCTTAGAGCCTGACTTTTACATAACCCCTGGCATTCCCTGTCCACTTCCACCTGGAAACAAAAACCTTTAGGCAAGCTTTTCCCTGAGACGCAGAACAAGGCATCTGCTCTCCCACAGTTTGGTGTCCTGTATCCCACTGCGCAATAATCCACATCCAGACTGTGAGGCCTGCTGCCCTGGGTGTCAAAGCCATGGGGCAGGCAGGGGGTATGTCCCATTGCAGCCTTCCTCTCACCCATGGCCAAAGGCATCCTCCCAGCTTGATTCTGGGTGGGGAAGATTTGGGGGTTGGGGGATCATAGGCAGCACTGAGTGAAGGATCACAGAATCCCAAGGGTTGGAAGGGACCTCAGAAGATCATCTAGTCCAACCCCCCTGCAAGAGCAGGGTAACCTCGAGTACATCACACAGGAACTTGTCCAGGCGGGCCTTGAACATCTCCAACATAGGAGACTCCACAAGCCCCCTGGGCAACCTGTTCCAGTGCTCTGTCACTCTCACAGTAAAGAAGTTTTTCCTGATGTTCACATGGAACCTCCTATGCTCCAGTTTACACCCACTGCCCCTTGTCCTATCACTGGTCTTCCACTTGCCCTTCCACAGGGAACAGAAACAGCACCATGTAGTAAATCACAATTTCAGAGAAGGTCAGAATTCTTACCACAAGTACAAGCCAAGCCACTTGTCAAAATAATTTGATCACATTTGAGATAAATCACAAATTATGTGATGTATGAGAGACAGAAGTGTGCTGAATAAGTCACAGAAACACACTTACTGATTCAGGTCTAGGGTATAAATTGTATATATAATGAATGAAGTTGCTAAGCCACTGGCCATCATATTTGAAAAATCATGGCAGTCAGGTGAAGTTCCCGATGACTGGGAAAAGTGAAATATAACCCCCGTTTTCAGGTAAAATGGATGACCCGGGGAATTACAGAGCAGTCAGTCTCTCCTCTGTGCCTGGCAAAATCTTGGAGCAGATTCTCCTGGAAGGCATGTTAAGGCACATGAAAAACAACAAGGTTGCTGGTGACAGCCAGCATGGCTTCACTAAGGGGAAATCCTGACTGACCAATTTGGTGACCTTCTATGATGGGGCTACGGAACTGATGGACAGCGGTAAAGCAGTTGATGTCATCTACCTGGACTTCTGCAAAGCATTCGACACTGTCCCACACGACATCCTTGTCTCTGAATTGGAGAAACATCAATTTGATGGATGAACCACTCGGTGGATAAAGAACTGGCTGGATGGCCACACGCAAAGAGTTGTGGTCAATGGCTCAATGTCCAGCTGGAGACCAGTAACGAGTGGTGTCTCTCAGGGACTGGTTTTGGGACCGGTCTTGTTCAACATCTTTGTCAGTGACATGGACAGTGGGATTGAGTGCGTCCTCAGCAAGTTTGCTGATGACACCAAGCTGTGTGGTTTGGTTGATACACTGGAGGGAAGGAATGCCATCCAGAGGGACCTTGACACGCTTGTGTGGTGGGCTGATGCCAACCTCATGAAGTTTAACCATGCCAAGTGCAAGGTCCTACACCTGGGTCGGAGCAATCCCAGACACAGCTACAGGTTGGGCAGAGAAGAGATTCAGAGCAGCCCTGAGGAGAAGGACTTGGGGGTGCTGGTCAATGAGAAAATGAACATGAGCTGTATCCTGGGCTGCGTCCTGAACATGCAACCGTATCCTGAACATGCAACTGTATCCTGGGCTGCATCAAAAGCAGCGTGACCAGCAGGTCGAAGGAGGTGATCCTGCCCCTTTATTCTGCTCTCGTGAGACCTCACTTGGAGTATTGTGTGCAGTTCTGGTGTCCTCAACATAAAAAGGACATGGAACTGTTGGAACAAGTCCAGAGGAGGGCCACAAGGATGATCAGGGGACTGGAGCACCTCCCATATGAAGACAGGCTGAGAAAGTTGGGGATTGTTCAGCCTGGAGAAGAGAGGGGTGCGTGGAGACCTCATAGCAGCCTTCCAGTATCTGAAGGGGGCCTATAGGGATGCTGGCGAGGGACTCTTCATTAGGGACTGTAGTGATAGGACAAGGGGTAATGGGTTAAAACTTAAACAGGGGAAGTTTAGATTGGATATAAGGAAGAAGTTCTTTAAGGGTGGTGAGGCACTGGAAAGGGTTGCCCAAGGGAGGTTGTGAATGCTCCATCCCTGTCAGTGTTCAAGGCCAGGTTGGACAGAGCCTTGGGTGAGATGGTTTAGTGTGAGGTGCCCCTGCCCATGGCAGGGGGGCTGGAACTAGATGATCTTAAGGTCCTTTCCAACCCTAACTATTCTATGATTCTATGATTCTAATGAATGGAAGCAGAGTGTTCTGGAGTGCTTGCAATACCTGAACTTATATTTCGTGCTTGCTTGGCCAGAGGTGGGGGTTTGCAGCTTTGTCTGGGCTGGTCATGCACTGAGCTCTTCAGAACATCCCAGTGAATCACTTTCCCACACTGAAATATTTCACTGATTCTAAACAAATTTTCAGTGGTCGGGTTTGTGATGTACATAAGACTTACTCATTGCTTTCAGAGCAGGAGGAGTGCTTAGCGTGCACTGGTAACTGGTTTCCTATCTGCAAATGGATTTTTGGACACCTCTTGTTTTGGGAACATATTCAAAGGTTATTGGTTCCAAACCAATGTGAGGTGAAATAGAAGTCAAATCTCTGGAAGTAGATATGGAAAGGGGTTGTTTTTCTCTTCACACTTCAGCAACACAAGAGGGACCTTCTAAAATGCTAAGAGCAGGATTTCCGAAAAGCCACTCCGATCCCATCTGAGCATAGTAGACAAGACTCCAGTGTCTGAATGAATTTAAGATTTACACGTGCACAGCACAGAGCTGACATTGCTCTGTCTCAGGGGCATTTTCATACACACGAGGCCACCACTGATGATCAGGTCAGACACTTTGCTCTGTGCAGTCTGTGATCATCCTGTTATTACATCTGGCCACAGAACATCAGCTCTGAGTGGTAATTTCCCTATGCAGGATGGCCACTACAGAGGTTTCTAGGCCACATCCTCAGGCATTACTCCGCACCCATCATCAGGACTGTCAGGAACTGGCACATGCTTAAAACCAGCTCAACACGCTGTAACCCAGTACAAAACCCAAACCACTTGATCCCATGAGTTGGGTGTAACAAGGAACATGTTTTGTGCAGGCGGGTCCCCTCCTGGGTGTCTTCACCAGGTCCCATGATCCAACCATGGGAGAGTGAGGGATGTCTGAAAACTGCAACTGCCTATATACCCATCTCAGAGCACTGCTACTCATAAACTAAAGCAGAGCAAGATCCCCATTCCTGCCAAAGGACAAGAAGTCCACTGGGACACCTAATGATGGACAGTCACTCCTGACGGTGCCTGGAAGCACATGCTTAGGCTGCTGCACTGATCCCTGATGTACCCATATGTGTGCCAACGGACCCGTGCCTGTGCCCAGGCACTCATGCCACGGCTGATGTGCCTGTGGGGCGGTCCATATACCCCTGCCTGGGCCTGGGAACTAACGGCACGGCTGACACTCCCTGCGCTGTTCAAAGCCCCCCGCAGCAGCAGCCCCGCCTCACCTGGCAGAGCAGGTCCTGCAGGTGCCCGGCGCAGGCGGCGTACGTGGGCCCGTCGAGGCGGGCGCTCAGGCGGTAGAAGCGCTGGAGCAGGGCGCGGTCGCGTCGCAGGTCGCAGCAGCCGAACTCGGCGTAGCGGCGGCAGAAGGCGAGGCCCCGAGGCGGCCGGAACGGCGGCTTGAAGTCCAGGCACTGCGGGTGCGGCCGCGCCGGCCCTAGCGCCGCCGCCAGTAGCAGCGCCAGCGCCGCGCCGAGGACACCCCGCATGGTCCCCCGCAGCGCTGCGCCCTGGACGAGCCGGCTGCCGAACGGCGGGGTGTGTGTGTGTGTGTGTGTGTGTGTGTGTGTGTGCGTGTGTGTGTGTGTGTATGTGTGTGTGTGTGTGTGTGTGTGTGTGTGCGTGTGTGTGTGTGTGTTTATGTATCCGCTGCCCTGCCGGGTTGCGCGGAGCCCCGGTCGGCCCCGCCGCCTCGCTCCCCCCGCTGCGGAAGGGGCGCGGAGAGCGGCCGCTCCGACGCGCCCGCCCCGAGGTCCCCCCGGTGCCGCGGGTGAGGTCAGCGCCGCGGACACAAGAGCTCTGGGCGCCCTCCCGGCAGCGCTGGGCTTTTGGAGACGTTCACGGCACCCTTGCGCTGGGGTGATGGCTTTGGAAAGGCGCTTTTACTTGTTTGCAGCTAGACCACAACCTGGCGGATACTTGTCTGTGCAGTCCGCACAGCGTGCCGTGCGGGGGGCTGTGACCCTCCTGTGTAGCACGCTGGAAACGAGTTCCTCGGACCAGCTCCTCAGGTGTTGGCTGCTGGACTCGGCTGTGCCCTTTAATCTCTTGATGACCAAAATATGAAAGATAATAGCACTTGGAGTTTATAGGGGTGATGGACATATTTAAAACCAAGAAACTTGGCTTCAGTACAGCTAGTGCTTCTACATCCTTTGGCATCCTGTGGCGATCCCATCCTGGGATGATATTCTGGTTAGATTAATCTTTAAGGCTGGAAAGAAGAGGTCTGGTGTAGTCCTTACACTGTGTGTCCTTAGATAGCCTGGGCAACATACTGTCGTTTAGAAAGATACTCCCCCCATTCAGAGTGGTGCTCCCTCCATGCTTCCTCCAGTTCAGGTACTCCCTGCCCAAATGAAATAAAATTACCTATGATACTTACCTGAAAGTGCTTCATGGCATACCCTGGGAAAATACTTACTCCAAATGCTGGGTTTTTTGCATATTATGTATTGTGTTGTATGTGATGTTGCCAGCTATTAAGTTCAAGTCCATGTAGGTGGTTTTTTTCTTTTTGCTGTTAAACACAGCTAGCCACAGTTGTTTTGCATTTCAATATTAACATGCAGACTGCCCATAAAAGACAAAGAATATGGAGTTCATGCTGATATGCTATTTTTGACTCCTGCTTTGAGACCAAAGAACTGCTGTACAGTGCATATGGACTGTAAAATCACTGCATGGCTTGGAACATCCTGTCAAGAGACCATATGTGCTACAGCATTTAGCACAAGTTTATTTTGCTCTCTGTATTGCTTATGTAACTGCTGCTAAGGTCACTAAAAACTTTGCATATGTGCAGGAAACCAGAATACCTGATAATCTCACTAGAGAATTCCCTGCCCTTTATTATATGTCATTTACACACACTTTTTCATGGATGACCTTGGTAAATGCATTGGAAAGCACATGATCTAGCCGCTGCCCCTAAAGACTTTGCATGCCATGCAAAAAAAGTGTATGCAGTTATACACCCCATATTTGTGTAAAAACAGTTGATGTAAAGGCATCTCTTCTTTACACCGCTTAATCTTTTATTCCTGTGGTTAACACTGTTGTCTCAGTGTTTGTAATGGTTTTTAGCTATTGGTAATTAACATTGCAAGAATGCTTAATATGCAAAGAATGGATTGCAGTAACCAAACATTTTCTGTGATAATGAGATTTATCCTATAGCCTCTCGATTTGCTATTACAGCTCTTGATTAGCTTGGCATCCATGCAACATTTCAGAAATGAAAGGAAAACTCAATGCTCCGCATATTTAGCAGTGAACTGCAGAACTAGAACTATAGTGCTGATCTGCTCATCATGGCAAAATGGCATTAAATACCTTTGGGAAGTCCCCTGTTTGCGTTTATAATACACACGCCGATGCCAGAACTCCCAGTGTTTTGTTCATTCAGCAAGGCAATTTTTCAGTTACCCCTCATGCTGGGGATTGAATGGCTATTCATGGTCAAGGCTCTGCTGAAATGGAGACTGTGGCTGCCTCGTACTCTCTAACAAGCTAGTTCTGTCAAGGACAGCTTGTTTCACATCTTGCTGTGAGCTCTAATTAGAGGCTTCCCAGGCCACAGGTAGGAGCTCCAGGACTGTGTTTGAGGGATCTGTGCTGTGGTTGGTAGGAGCACATTGCTCTTGGCTTTTCTTTCCAGCACTTCCCTGGAGACTCAACTAGCTTGATTCCCAAGTCACTATCCTTCTGCCTGGGTTCTCCCTTTCACAAAATGAGGATAGTCAATGCTCACCCACTCCATGGCAGTCTTTCAAGGTGTAGTTTATTGATATTTTAATCACTGCCTTTTCATTCTTTATGAGCTCTCTGCCAAGCCATTGCTAGGGATTAAGGTCAGGAGTGGAACTATTGTCCTTAACCTGAGGTGCTGAATTAGAATTTGCCCTTGCTGCTACCTGAGGGCAATAACATGCATCTGTGGAACAGTTACAGAATGGGGGTGAGGTTTGATTTAGGTAGTACTCACCAGCATCACATGGTACCTTGAGAATTTGCTACTCAGAAGGTTTCATATTAAAATTACTCATTTTTAATTTGGATAATTTGAACACTTGTCCTTGTGCTTAATGACCTGAATCAACCAGTTGAATATTTTGTGCTGTGTATCAGCTACTGAAAACATGTAATTTGTCTGGGGGTTTTGTTTGATTGGTTGGGTTTTGTTTATTTGATTTGGGTTTTTTTTGTTAAGATTGCTCCCATTACCACTGAAGTCCATATGAGTTTTCCAAGTTGACTTCAGTCGATTCTCAGAATCAGCATTTGTACTGATGGATTAAATTCAAGAAGCCAAGTGTGTAAATGCAGTATGTGCTTGCAAGCAACAAGACATTAAGGTACCAAAAGCCTACATTGAAAAAATGTTGATCATTTTGGGTTATCAAACCTGAAGTCCTTAGAGACAATTAAAGCAACTGATAATTGTAGGCACTCCACATCTCAAAAGGACAGTCTTATGTTCCTCAAGATGAACTCCTTGAATGCTCAATATCCAGACTTCTTCACTCTTTCTCCATAAGCTGGAATTTGTTAGTATACATGGGATGGGGAGAATGTTGCTTAGAAAGGTAATCACATTTGATCAAATGACCAGTGTTTGACCGAGTGTCTGGAACTCCATCCTTGAGAGGAATTTAATACTCTAAGCTTCAACAAGTAAAGCACACACTGCTCATACAAAAGCCAACTGTGAACACCATCCCTAAAAACCTAACAGTCAGGAATTAAACACAGGGCTATAACTCCTTGTAGAGGAAATTAAGCTTTGCTTTCTCATTACACATCTGATTGTGAAACCCTTCTGTTCCTCATTTGTCTTCCAAAGTGTTTTATTTTCCTTGCTGGTAGAGACACTGAGAACAGATTATTATTAAGAAGACACAAGAAAGAAGATGTGCATGTGCATGTGTGTAGCATGTACACACAAACCCACAGATGTGAGCAAGGTAACACCTGCTTTTCAGTGAACAGAATCCATGCTTGGCAGCATGGTAGTGACCTGCTGGCATGGAGACTGCTCATTCACACAGCTTCTAGTATTCTACATGAACAACAGAAAAAATGCATTAAGGCTTTGGAAAGATGCAAGAACAGTTTTACAGCACAGTCGAGAACAAATCGGCATCTTCTCATTTAAGGTGATTTGTCAAGCAACACATGTATGTGCTGAGTGGTAGCTGAAGCCACACAGGCTGTGGTAGGCCTACCAACACATTTTGATATTAGGAGGAAGCATTTAATGCAAGAAACCTGAGAAGCCAGCCCAGTGTCAGCAATATCACATTCTATATCAAGAATACTGTCAGAGGATTTGATAAGCAGAAATCCTGCTGCTTCTAGACATGCTGGGATGATTTAGATGTGGAATGAAATGTACTGCTGCAGCATCAAAGACCTAATTTATCCTGGTAATAGAACCATGCGAGTTTTAATCCTGTTGTGAAGAAGCACCTCCTCCTGCTTCAGCAATACCCTCTGGTGCACATTCCAGGTCTCTGTGTTGTATGTCACAGCAAATGTTGCAGAAAGCACTGGGGCAGCCCCTTGGATGGTGTAAATCAGCAGAGCTCAGCCATAGCATATGATATCCAGGATTTCCATATAGGTGGCACACTGATAAATGCTTTTCCTCTCCTTCTTATGCTCATTTTATGCACAGGAAGGATGTCACAGTTTTACAGCAGAGAACTCCCTCGCTTCTTTTACTTCACAACTTGCTACCATAGGAATTCTAACGCAAGGGCCCTAAAGAGACCATATGGGCAGTAAGCAGTCCTTATGTGTTGCACATGCAAAAATAACATATTTTCTTATCAGCTCACATGAAAGCAGATCATGCAGAAATGATTTTTTAAAAATTACTACTATTTTCCTGCAGTAACAGCAACAGAACAATAAATAACAATGCTTGAATGGGTTCTATTTTACAGCACATGGAACTCTTCCACTTTTTGGTCACAAGAGAAATAATAAAGGCATTAAAATGTAAGTTTCTTTTCAGAAAGTGTTGTATTGATTTTATGTAACATCTGAATCCTTTGTGTTGAAAATTACATACAGCCATATAATTTGTCTCTAACAAGAAATAGACCAAAAGAGTTGCTCAGTGAATTGTACAAATGAGCCTTTTCTCATCAGTGATCCAAGGCATAATACAATACCCTGCTTTTTTAGTTCCCTCTGAGAAGTGGGAAAGCTCAGTTACAGAAGCAAGTATATTCCACTGGAAGAAAAGGTGGTTAATCATAGCTTGAGCCCATACTGAAAAGGGAAAATCCAGCTGGATCCATGCTTCTGTCCCAGAACCATTCAGTCTCTTCTCTAGTTTGGAGAGAATAAGCTTCTTTTTTTTTTTTATTAGCAACCACAAAAATGTTACTTTTTTGGAACGAAGCCAGCAGCAGCCAATGCTGCCATTGCTCCACTTCTGCTGAAGATTAAGGAGCTAGTAAATAGGTTGTCGCTGTTTTCTAATAGTTGAAATTACAAATCATAGCCAATAAAA